ATCTTAATATAAAAGATCAAAAATAAGTCAGAATTTAGCAAAGAAACCCGTGTTCAAGCTCCTCAGACTTGAGCGGGTAGAGAAGAAATAGGTAGAATATATGGCAGCCTGAACACAAACCTCAAAAGAAATTCAGTATTTATGGTAGCCCATACTATCAATGACCAATCTGATATATTCTGTTCTGTGACAAAAACAGGGAACACTTCATCTGAAAGAATCTCAGACTGGTGCTGGGTTTTGACAGATGATTGATGAGGCTGTGAAACACACACAGCTAACAGTAACGTGCACGGCAGGTACGTCCCACTCTCAGTCCAGCTCCCACATGTATCAGGTTTGTTTATCACCAGTTTTCTTTACTGATTTCATTACAGACAGTTGGAGAAGTACGTAGGACACAAATCTGGATGGAGAACTTGAAAAAGCTACTGGGAGTTTCAGCATATTATTACATTCCACCAGCCTACAACACAACTCCATCAAGATCTTCGTCCACACCAGAACTCCCACAATTAAAATTTCAGAGAATCTTCATTGGTATTAAAGCAGCTGCACAGATTTCTTAGGAAGAAGATTCCTACAGTAGTTTTAAGTATTCAAATCCTAAGAGATCGTAAGCACTCCCAGTCCCTGCAGAGTGGAAACTGTGAGCACAATACTCAAAAACCTCCTTGCTGGTCAACAACAACAACAAAAAAATCCATTAAAAAAAAATATATATATATTGTGGATAGAAAAGATAATTTTCAAGTTGTAAAACTCCTGGAGATGAGTAATATATAGATATGATTAGTGGCAAATGGATGGTGAATAAACAAAGACTTCAGTCTTACTCTGCTTCCACAGCAGCATAAAAATGATAGGAAAGACACTGCCTGGGTATCAGTTTCAATCTAACCACTCGATCTTGAGGTTTGACTCCTCAGTCAAAGACCTCAGGCACACAAAAGGATGGAAGAAAGGGGAAAAAGGAAACGTGAAAATAGGAGAAAACAACAGAAAAGTGCTTTGGTTTATATAATGAGCTACATTCAAGGATGGGTAGAAGGCACACAAAAGAGCAGTAGCTCATGATTGCTCATTACAGCACTTCCTTTGCTCTCCACATCCTCTGATTTCACTCCTCCTTTCAACTGCTATCACCTACCTACCTTCTCTTCATATTTAACAACAAAGCTACACGAGGACAGAAGCTGAATTCTTCACTGTGAATGCTTAAAGCCTCTATGACAATATTTGGCTCACCAGTACTTTGCAGTGTTATCTGTATTCAGATAAGCTTTTAAACTGGCAGTCAAATTAAAACACAAAAATTAGATCATCTCGAGTTTGCTTTATCAATCTACCCTATCTTAAAGCAACTTAAAATGAGGAGGCTCACTTGCCTAAGTTTTGCTACTGTAACCACGTGGTAAGCCTGTCATGTTTCCCTACAGCAGAATTGAGCACATAAAAGGTAATTTCCCCACAGTTCTTCATTTGCAGATTCCAGGTCCAATGCACAAATCATCATCTCTATTCAAGTTTCTCTGGTCACGCTCAGAAATACGAACAGAGGATCCTTAAAGTATATTTGCCATTTCTATTTTACCAGATGCAAGTGAAACAAATCGACCTCAAACTGTGACTGCATAATGGAACGTTTCACCAAGGACACAAAAATACCTACGTAAATTGGTCTTACCTTATCCTTTTCATGGGGAAGGAGACACACCGGAGGCAGACAGGAAAGAGACTCAAAACTCTCCTTCCCATCAGCATTAGTGGTTGCTTTAGTGTTGAGCTGGTACAGAGGTCCATCTTTAAGGAGCCTGCCATGGCCAACTGCACGTTTGACAGCTAATCGTAGTTGCTGGTGAAAAACGGAGGCAGCACTACCTCCAAATAATGCAGACACATCTTTCTGACCTTTCAGAAAACGCTCGATGTTCTTCAAGGATGAGCCACCAGACTCACCCAAGCCCTCAATTGCCCGTTTGATGAGTTTATTCCAGTCCACATTTGGCTTACCATCCAACTTCCCATGGTTCCGAGGCTTCGGAAGTGCTATTCTCCCAGGATTATCAGGATCTTTATAGGAGTTGAGACCCTTGTTGGAGACTTTTAAAATAGTTCCATCTTTAACGCTCAACTCTAACTGTTCCAGCACAGTTTTGCGATCCAAGCCATGTGATGAAGACACTGCATTGCATATCCTCTCTTCTGAAGGACGCTGTTTTTGCTTCTTTACCTTTTTGATTGCCTCCAGAATCCACTCCGTATACAGGGGGTTGGCGAGTTTTACCATGGTGAAGACTTCTGTATATCCATAGAGTCGTTATCCTTTATCCTGATGCTGAACAAGTTTCACACACTGGGAAAACAGATTCTCGGATGATGGGAAACAGCTAACCATAGCATACACGTTTTCTGTCCTGAATTACTTCTCCTTTCTCAAACATTAAGTGTCGTCACACTGGGGAGAAGAAAGCAAAACAATTAGAAATTTCCTAATTCTTTCCAATAAATCCAGTCACAGCTTCACAAAGGTTTTCCACAAAGATATAAAGATTTCAATGCAGCTCACCTCAGCTTTTGGTCTGCACGCTCGCAATTAGAAGCACTGTAACATTACACCTGGAAGAGAAAGAGATATTTGTAATTAACAATTGCAAAAAAATAACAGCCAACATTAATTCATTGCACACACAGGGCAAAGCTTTAATCAGTTACTCTAGTTGTTACACAGAAGTAACAATTAAGGTTCTATCTTCATTGCTAACGAACGGTGGTTTAATATTGCAAAAATTAATTCTATACAACCTTGAGGATGGAAAAAAATAAAGTGTGCTCTTGTTGTTTTGATCTACAAAGTTAACATGAATTCTACACCAACTTTTATATCAATGCTGAGCACAACCTATACAAACATTAAAAACATTCGTATGTCAAGGATCTACAAACAAAAAAAACACAACCAAACAATAACAACCCAAGCCAGCAGTCCTCTTCATTTCTGCACACAGAAGACACTGCCTGGAATTTGAATAGAAAACAGTAGGAATAATCAAAAGTCTTGAGCAAACAGCGAGGAACTCTCAGATCTCTTCCAGGAGCATAAATCATAGACCTGACTCCCTCCCGCTAAGAAAAGCCAAGACAGTTGTTGCATCAGGTAAAAAAAAGTAAAGAAACACAGCTTGAGATTGTCATTAAATGTGCCACTGTAGAAAAGACTACAAGTGTATAATCCTCCATGGATGAAGCACACTTGAGGACAAAGTAACAAGCGATCATATACAAATGAAAAAGGAATGCTTATGTCACAATTAAAGATGCAGATGTGAGGGTAGGAGGTTCTATTTTACAGCCTTCAGTTCTCTTCAATGAAGACTTTTCCTTAGCATGGTACAGTGCATGTGTAAAAGCACACCAACCCTGAAGAATTCATGATCTATTTATTAAAAGGAATAACATTTTTCTGCAAGGTAGGCTTCATCCATAAGCCAGGTGTTCTCTCTGTTCTCTTCCAATTTGATTTCTAGTAAGTATTCAAGAAGTTATCAACGCACCGAACGTATTTACATACAGACATCAAACCACACGGCTCCAGCACTAGAAGGACTCACAACCACCGCGCAGAACAGCTCCGTGCTCGGAGTTCTCTTTCTTTTCACCAGCAATCACGAAAGGCACAGCTCCGGGCCGTTACATAACCGGCTCAGGACCTTCCCGACTCCGTTCGCTCAGCACGGCCCTGCACCTGCTACGGCTCCAGCCCATCCCTCTCCCGGCCGGGCCGCACGCACGGCGCCCCGCCTCAACCCAGACAGTCGCACCGGGGAATCCGGAGCCGCGTGCCCGCTGCAGCCAGGCGCCGCTCCCCTCCGCTCCCCACCCCCCGCCGCCGGGCAGCGCACCCAGCGCCCGCACCGCTCCGGCCGGGCCCGCGCGGAGCCTCATCCGCGCTCCTTGGCGCCACTGCTGGAGCGCGGCCCGACCGCGAGCCCGCGGCCAGACCGCGAGCCTCGCCTCATCCGCGGCCTCCCGAGGAAAGCGGCTGGCTGGGCTCGGGGCGGCGAGCGGCCCGGTCCGGGCCTGGCGCACAGCGGCGGCGGGGCCGGAACAGGCCGCGAGCCCGGGGAGCCCGGCGGGCCTTCCCCTTCCTAGGGCCGCGAGGCCCGCAGGCCGCCCGTCCCCGCGTTACCCGGCACCGGGCGATAGAGACGGGGCGATCCCACCGACGCTACTCACCGAACGCCGCGAGAGACGGGAACCGAGAAGCAAAGGCCGAACGGCGGCGAAGCCCGAAACTGACACGGCGGCCATCTTGGGTCCGGAGCTCCGCGACGGGGGGAGGGGGCGCGGCAGCGGAACAGCCCGCGGCGGGCGGGGGCGCCGCCCGGGAACAGCGCGGCGGGCGGCAGCGTCGGCCTCGGCCCGGGGCGGCTCTGAGGAGCGGCGCGGGATGGGATGCGGGCGAGCGGCGATCTGGCGGCGGAGCTGCGGAGCGGGCGGCCGTCGGCGCTGCTGGGCTCCCGCCCGCCCGGAGTTCGGCGGGAACGGCACGGACGAACCGTTGAAAAGGTGTTGCAGCCCCTAAGGTAGGACGGCTGTCTGCCCCGTAGGCTGAGTTCAGGGATGGGTAACGGTATCGCCGCGCCTGCCCCTCGTTTAGTCAGGCAGTTTCAGTGACTTTCTGACGTCTTCGATTTCTGCTGTTAGGTTTTTTCGGTACAAAAGAAAATGTTGCGAGTGGGGTATGAGTGTAATTTCCAGAGAATAACGTGAGTGTGGCAGAGCTTGCCCATCACGGGCAGGGTTCGGTGATGAAGTAGCCCTGCAAACCAGCTGCATTCCACACAGGTGCACCTTTGGACTCCGTTCTGTCTCCAAATTTACAGTTTTTTTTTCTGGCAACCTTTCAGAATTACTTCTTGTTCAGTAATTTAGGAACAAAACCCAGCTTGCTTTCGTCTACTCTGTTTCATTCTCACAGCACCGGCTAACAGCTGAATCATCAGAATTCTTATATTTGGCAAACTGCAGAAGAAAGGGATTGTTTTACGAAGGTAAAGCTGTTGCCAAACTGCGCACTTTTTTTCAGCATTGATTTTTTGCCCCTGAGGACTCAGCTCCCCTTACCTGAGTTGCTTTCAGGCTGTCAGGAACTGAACCAGCAACGTGGAATTCTGTTCTTGCTGTACCTTCTGCCGTGTTCTCCTTTACATTTCAGTTTATATAAAGTTCTGAGCCGTTGTGGAGAAAAGCATTTGCTGACTTTGAAAGCAAAACACGATGCTTCTGCTCCTGATCCTTGCGTTTGGAAGCAGATAGGCCACGTTCCTGCAGCAGCAAGCAGCAGTGCAATGTTAAATTCTTCTCAGCAAGGTATGGGAAAATTCTTGGAGAAGTTTAAGGTTCAGGTTAGCATCCCAGGTACATGACAACTCCTCAAAGGCCAGTGATTTTTGGCAAGCTGTCTCTCATGATTAGTTCTTCATAAGCCTATAAGATTGTGAGCAGAAATATATTCCCCTTCTTCCCTCAGCAGCCTTCGCCTTGGTTGTGCAGAAAGAATTTATTACGCTGTGATGTCTTTTGCATTGGCTGTAAAGTTCTTGATGATTAAAGAAACCAAAATTACTGTAAAAAATAAATAACAACATGAACTGATTGAACTATCAACAGTTTTGATGAGAAGCACAAGCAACCAGAGATCGAGGTTTTCAACCAATGTATGTATGATACAGGGAAAACGGGTTGGTGTTTTGTGAGACAAGTGAACACTCATATTGATAAGAAGTGTCTCATGACTGTAGAGTTTAATTTCTAGGTTAGAAACAGAATGGTTTGAGTTTCTCAGAGAAGCTGGCAAGTGCATAAAGGCTTTCTGTTGTTCAACTTAACCGTGTGCTGCTGCTTTCTATCTATGATGCCTGTATGATTTCTGATAGCACAGCAAGAGCCTCTTAGCAATGATGTTAAAACCATGCACAATTGTTTAAATTTAGAACAGAACACCATAATTAAATGACATATACCTCTTTGTTGCTCTCAAATATGTAGTTCATTGGAGTGTTTCAGATTAGACATTTAAAAAAAAAAATCTTGCTTAAAAACTCACTTGAAAACAAACCTGAAGTGTAAATGGCAGTAAGTAGGTCAGTTCTCCTTTTTGCTTTTGTGAAAGCGGTTAACCTTTTGCATGCTGGATTAAGAAAATGTGATGTCGGCATGAACAGCCTGACCTCTGCCACATTTTGGGGAGAAATAGTTACAACAAAACAGGGAAATTGGGGGGAAATAACTACGAGTAGTTACAGCAAGATCTAACATAAGCTTCAAACAGCCCTGTGAAGAACAGGTGGCAGCAGACTCAGATCCGAGCCTGCCAGTGCTTTTGCAGCAGTCCTGACCGGTAGGCTTCCTTCCTTCCCACGCAGTAAGAGCTGTATGCTCACACAGTTCTTCTTGTGTAGCAGAAGAGGCTGCTTTTCTTTTCCTGTATTGGAGCAATTGATCACAACCAGGTAGAGGTGGCGGCGCAGCCGATGTCATTTACCTGGACTAGAGCAAGGTCTTTGATATGGTCCCCAACCACATCCTTATCTCCAAATTGGAAGGATGTGGATTTGATGGGTGGACCACTCGATGGATAAGGAATTGGTGGAAAGGCTGCAGACAGAGTCTGTGGTTCTGTGTCCAGGTGGAGGCCGATAACAAGTGGCATCACCCAGGGGTCTGTCTTGGGACAGGTGCTCTTTAATGTCTTTATCAATGACAGTGGTGATGGAATTGGGTGCATCCTCAGCAAGTTTGCTGACACCAAGCTGAGTGGTGTGGTTGACACAGTGGGGTGCCATCCAGAGGAACCTCAACAGGTTTGGAAGGTGGTCTTGGATGAAACCTAATGAGGTTCAGCACAGCACAGTGCAAGATTTTGCAGTTGGGCCAGAGGGATGCCAGGCATCTGTACAGACGGGAAGGAGTGGTCCTTCAGAGCAGCTCTGCAGAGAAGGACCTGGGGGTCTTGATGGGTGGAAAGCTGAACATGAGCCAGCAGTGTGTGATTACAGCTCAGAAGGCAAATGGGGTCCTGGGCTCTGTCAGCGGGGGGGGACAGCAGGGACAGGGAGGCGATCGTCCCCCTCTGCTCTGCTCCTGTGAGGCTCCATCTGCAGCACTGCGTCCAGGGCTGGAGCCCCCAGGACAAGAAGGACAGGGAGCTGCTGGAGAGGGTCCAGAGGAGCCGCAGAGATGAGCAGAGGCTGCGGCACCTCCACCACGAAGACAGGCTGAGGGAGCTGGGCTTGTTCAGCATGGAGAAAAGAAGGCTGCAGGGTGACCTCAGTGCAGCCTGCAGTGCCTGAAGGCAGCCTGCAGACAGGAGGGGAATCAATTCTTTGAAAGGGGAGATGAAAGCAGGAAAAGGGGAAATGGTTTAAAGTTGAGGGAGGGCAGCTGGAGGTTGGATGTCAGGGGAAGTTGTGTGCTGTGAGAGTGGTGAGGTGCTGGAACAGCTGCCCAGAGAGGCTGTGATGCCCCGTCCATCCCTGGAGGGGTTGGAGGCCAGGTTGGATGGGGCCCTGGGCAGCCTGGGCTGCTGTGAAGTGTGGAGGTTGGTGGCCCTGCGTGCGGCAGGGGGTTGGAGCTCCGCGATCCTTGAGGTCCCTCCAACCCTGGCCGTACTGTGATTCTGGCGCAGCGTGCCCTGCGCCCCCTGCTGGCGGAACGTGCCCTGCTGCGCGGTGCGGCGCTCCCCCAATGGAAGCCGTGCCGTGCCGCTCTGTGCGTCATCACCAGCGCGCCTCTCCTCGGCTGATCGGGCTCGGCTGCTCTCGGGTCGCTCCGTTAGAGCTCTCGCTGCGAAAGCTCGCCCCGTGGGTGGCTTTCCTGCCGTGTGACGGCGCAGTCATGATCCACAGCCTGTTCCTGATTAACGCCTCGGGGGACATCTTCCTAGAGAAGCACTGGAAGAGCGTCGTCAGCCGTTCTGTCTGCGATTACTTCTTCGAGGCGCAGGAGAGGGCTTCAGAAGCGGAGAACGTACCGCCGGTCATCTCCACCCCGCATCACTACCTGCTCAGCGTGTACCGCCACAAGATCTTCTTTGTGGCCGTTATCCAGACGGAGGTGCCTCCTCTGTTCGTCATTGAGTTTCTGCACCGTGTCGTCGACACCTTCCAGGTTTGGCTCACGTGGAGGAAGGACGCGATGGTGTTTGTTGGTGGGTGCTGGGAGCTTAGGAAAGGAGAAGCCTGACATCACCACTGTTGCAAAGGATGACAGTGATAGGAGAAAAAAGGGAGTCTTTCGAGTTTGTGACAATTAGTTTTTTCTTTTTTCTCTCTCTTAACTTACATCCTACGCCTGCAAGGATTTAGAGTGTGTGCTTTTTTATATTAAATGGGGAGTTTGGTGGCCCTGCCTGTGGCCGGGGGTTGGAGATTCGTGATCCTGGAGGTCCCTTCCAACCCCGTTCTGTGATTCTGACTGCTTGCAGTAGCTAGGAATTAACTTCTCAGGTTGACGATGGACTCGAGATAAATGTTTGCTTACAGGAAGGAGCTTTCAGCAATCAAGAACTGCATTTCTGTTTTGCAATCTTGTATCTTCTAGGGGCTGCGCTTGTGAGACCCAACTGAAGTTGGTTTCACAAGTCTCAGCAATTCTCAAAGGAAATTCTGCAATTTGTGTTCCTTAGTCTGACAGTCTGCCTGCACGTTTACAGCACAGTGTGTCTTGGAAGGGTACCTTGTTACCTAAAGAAGTGAGCTATAGGAGTTGCCTCAGAGCAACTGCATTTCCTCTCTGCTGACACGACTGTGAGTCGGTGGTGGATGTAGAATGCAGAACATATCTCTCTACTGCCTGCCAGCAACATGATTGTATAGTCTGGGTTTGAATTGTCTTGTGATCAGCTGAAATGCAGGAAGTATTAGTGCCTGGTCAGATGGGCATCATGTGAACTTTTCTTCCGAATACTGCTCAGAATGCAACAGCAGGCTCTGAATTATGTTTCATCAAGTTCAGAGCGTGGTTGACTCTTTGTTTATACGCAGAGTTTGAATCCAAGCAACTTGTTTGGTTGTTGGTTTTTTTTTTTTTTGGTGTGTGTATGGGTGGATTTGACTTGCTTTTGGTGAGACCTTTTAGCTTTAGGTTGCCTGAGGCTGATTCTCATCTTGTGCTGAGCTATTTGGCCAGGTATGGCTTGAGTGGAAAAGCATTTTGATTGGAATTTCTAAATAATGTTGTCACAGATTCCCAACCACTGTTCTGTAGTGTGGTGGTTTTTGTTTGTTTTGAAGGCCATCACTATTAAAGTAACTAGGTAAAAGCATTATTACAGTTAAAATCTGAGTTACTTCTATTGATATGGAAGTCTTGTGTTTCGTGTTCAAGCCAAAACATTCTTCAGGAAATTGTTTATTTTTAGTTAATGTTGCTGCTTATCCAGTTGCATCAGAGCTGCTTTCAAATGCCAGTTGAAAACTCTTGGCTATTAGAGTGAACCCCATGATATAGAAAGGAAATAGATGTATGCAGCAATGCAGTGATTGCCAGCTTTCTGGGGCAAAGGTGGAGGTATGCTTAGAGTTGTGCTTCTTGTTGCAGTGTTCAGTATGTTGTGCTTCTGCTAATATGTGTCAGTGCTGTTTCACCTGCTGCAAGGAGAGGCTTGATTGATGTATTTGTGGGAGAAAATGAACTGAATGGTCACTCATGGTCTCCTCTAGAGATTAATTATTTCTTTTGCACAGGATTACTTTGGTGTCTGTTCAGAGGTGATGATCAAGGACAACGTTGTGGTGGTTTACGAAGTGCTGGAAGAGATGCTAGACAATGGCTTTCCATTGGCAACAGAATCTAATATTCTCAAAGAACTGATAAAGCCTCCAACTATCCTGCGAACAGTAGTCAACACCATCACAGGTATGAGGAAACTAAAAGTAGATAAACTGCTGTGACTTTGTGGCAGTATTCCTACACGAGTCAAACTAGACATAGGTGAAGAAAATGTTTGTTGTTCCATACCCTTCTAAACCATAGCACAGATATTTGGGAGTCTCACGTTAGTGCTTATGGATGTGGAGATGCTGATTGTAGAATACAAAGAATGAATAATTAATTCTCCCACAAAGAGACAGAGGTTTCTTGGAAATTAATTGCAGTCTAGTGAGATGAGGCCAGGAACTTGTTCTGGAACACTGACTATGTTCTGTGGTTGATGTGATTACTGTTCTTCTTCCAGGAAGCACTAATGTGGGTGACCAGCTTCCTACTGGACAGCTATCAGTGGTGCCTTGGAGACGTACTGGTGTGAAATACACCAACAATGAGGCATATTTTGATGTGATTGAGGAGATAGATGCAATAATTGACAAATCAGGTATGGAAATGGCTTTCTGCTAAGACCAGGGCAACTTGTAATAATTTTTTGTTTTCCAAAGAGGTGCTCCTTCATGTAAGTGTGGGAAGTTTTGTTCCTCTTCTTACTTTGAAATGTTGCAAAGCTGTAGGTGCCATTCAGTCAAAAATTTTAGAGAAGTATCAAAATTTTCACTTGTTCTTCTCCTCTGGCTGTTCATAAGGTCTTGTAAACAATTCTGTGCAGGGAAAATAGAAGGTGGCTAGAAATTCTGACAGCAGGACTGTCCCCTTAGTTGGGAGCTACTGCTGTTGCCCATTGGGGTGGGCGCTGTAGATGTCAGTGGTTCTTGTTTGCATCTTCTCTAGAAGCGTTTGGAAGTGAGATGTTGAACAGGCAATGTAAGATGTGGTGACTCTTCATAAAGATATTAAATTCATAGAATCATAGAATCATAGAATCACCAAGGTTGGAAAAGACCTAAAAGATCACCCAGTCCAACCGTTCACCTATTCCCAATAGCTCCTACTAAACCATGTCCCTCAACACAACATCCAGTCTTTCCTTGAAAGACTTCTTTCCCTTCTTCCTCATTAATAATTTTTTCATGTTGTGATGAATTTTAATAAGGTTCGTATGACCTCCTGTGTTTGCTTTTATTGTTGTAGGTTCTACAATTACTGCTGAAATCCAAGGAGTAATTGATGCTTGTGTCAAGCTGACTGGGATGCCAGATCTTACCCTTTCCTTTATGGTAAAGCTCGAGGATGTATATCTACTTAAATATTTTGAAAAGAATTTCTCAGCCATGCCACTAAGATCCCTGGTTTACAGTGATGGTTTCCAGTAGGTCAGACTTTATGTATATCAAATACAAAGAATTGACGATGGAAACTCACAATGAACTTCAACCACTTTGAGCCTAAAGGTTTTATTTTCAGGTTCTTTATTAAAACTACTGCTTGTGTTTAAGTTTCTGAGCTTTGGTGTTTAGGCAAATATCCTAACGAGGTATGTTTTTATGAAGGTGCATCAATGTAATTGTTTGACGTGACTGAATTTGCTAAGATAGAATAGAATAGAATAGTTTAGCCTTTAGGGATAAGCAAAAGCTAAAGCATGTTCCTGAGGCTGTTATCCAAGTGCATCTCAGATGCTAGCAGGCACAGGGCATCAACAGCATTTCTAAGAAGCCAGTTCCACCGTTTGACCACAGTAAAGGGATTTTCCTCTGATATCCAGTCTGAATAGGACTAAGAATATTGAGTACCTATGCACAGATGTAATCAGCTAACTTAGCATCCTCAGTGTAGATGTGTTCAGATGGGGAAGTATCAAATGGTGGGCCCTTCACAGACAGAAAATTGCAGAGAAGAATTCAAGCAGTTACTTCAGCTAGCACTGCCTTCATTAGCCTTTCATTTATTTCAGAACCCTCGGTTATTGGATGATGTCAGTTTTCATCCATGTGTGCGTTTTAAGCGCTGGGAGTCAGAGAGGATTCTCTCCTTCATTCCACCTGACGGGAATTTTCGCTTGCTGTCTTACCACGTCAGTGCTCAGAAGTAAGTGTTGAATTTGGAGATGCAAGCTGTGGAATTTGGGTCTTCCTGACTAGAAAGAAGGAAGGGCTGGGGGAACAATAAGAAGAAATTTGCTTTTAAAGGTTAGGTGGCTTGCTGTGCCAAGTGAAGTAGGAGTGCGTGGTAACTTGTGCTTTTTAAAACATGTGTCTCATTGTTTGGAGCAGTGATTTTTTGGCTTTCATTTCTAGTCAGGCTGTGTTTTTTCAAAAGCAAGTAGCAAGTAGGTGAACAAACTAGAGTGGGAATGAATTAGGCAGTATTGAGTAAACAATTACCTGTATTTATAAAGAACTTTAAGATAAAACAGTCTGATAATCCTGATCTTTTTTCTTTCTGATGTCTTTCTTAATAGAACTAGGAATTCTGAAAGCAGGCTGATGATAGTTGAGATTACAGATGCTAAAGCATTTTGTTAAACCTTATCAGACTTAAGTCAGTGAAAAGGAGCAAGGGGAAAAAAACAATTTGAAAGCAGGCAGTTGAAGTGCTGCTGCACTGTTTGGGGCTGCTTTCTAGCTTGATGATGACATGTAAGAAGATTCTGCTGTGTATTGCTCGTTTCTTCCATTACACTGAATGTCTTCACTTGTCTTGGAGGATGTAGAAAACTACGATATGGAAAGTTTGGTTTAAAAAAGAAAAAGTAATTAAGGCTTCAGGACAGCATTCTGAATTTGCTCTTGGATTAATAAGACTGGGATGTCCTTCTCCTTTAAGAAGATCACGTTTCCTGCAGTCCTTCCTTGTATTTTTTTTTACTGGCAACAGTGAAAACCGAAAACGAAGGTGAAAAGTTAAGACAAGAACTCTGTTCTCTTTATTCCAGTCTTGTGGCAATTCCTGTGTATGTTAAACACAACATCAATTTCCGTGATAGCAGCTCACTGGGACGCTTTGAAATCACAGTGGGACCAAAGCAAACTATGGGGAAGACTATAGAGGGAGTGATGGTTACCAGCCAGATGCCAAAAGGGGTCTTGAATATGAGCCTCACACCCTCTCAGGGCACACACATCTTTGATCCAGTTACAAAGGTGAGAGAAATTAGATTTTTGTTTGTTTAATTTTATCCTTTCAGCAAATGAAGTTGAAGTGCTCATGCTTAAGAGAACATTTCTTTGAATGTTGATGCCATGAAGGCAGTATCTTTTCTTGGGATGTGAACTTAATATACTCCTGTTTCTTGAACACTTGCACACCTCCTGTTGTCTTCAGCCACACGGCAGATAGCTGGGAATGGATTGTAGTTCTGGATGTGTGCAGGAAGTCAAGGATTGGTGTTGTACAATGAGGCACGAGTCTAGTGAAAGGTTTACAAATTTCTGCTTATCTGATTGTCATGCTTCATACTGCCTGCCAACATTGAATCCTATGTGAGCACTGAGGATTTGTGTTTGTTAGTGGGTTTGGATTCCTCTCCCCAACACATGCACCAGGATTCTTTTCTTTTTTTTTCTTTCTGCAAGCTGTAAGGTTTATCCATAGTAGAGCATGGGGCAACACTGCTTCAGCCACATGGAAGGGAGGTGATTCTGCATTAATTATGTCAGTCTTACCCATAGGAAGTAGAACTCATGGCACAAATAGTGGGAATGCTATTCACAATATGCTTTTGAGAAACATCACTGGAAAGATAAGGAGCAGCTGTCTTTGTTCTCCCTAAGTGTTTGCTGTATGTAAAGTGCAGGACTCTGGACTTGATCGAGGAATGGGTATCCAGTATGTAAAGGAAGATACTGAGTGTAGTGGAAATGCTAAGTCACAGTTTGAAACACCTGGTGGGAAGGCAGGGCCAACCCAGGGAAGCTCAGCTGCATGCAGTGCAATGCACCTGAGGGACTGGAAGGGCTAGAGCCAGGATCCACTGCTTCCAGCCCTCATTTAAGGGTTGGCAGTGGAGGTAAGGGTATCTGGCTGGAAATCCCAGCCTGCCTGAGGCTTTCCAAAGGTTAGCAAATTTCCATTTGTTTCTGCATCCACAGCTGCTTCGTTTGGGCTTGTTCTCTTTTGCTGCAGCCTAGGACTTTGCCATCTCACTATTATTGCTGTACTTTGCATCACATTACAGCATTACACTGAGACAAAGAACTTTTTTCATGGAGAAACAAGAAAAGTTGGCATTACAACAGAGCTCTTCTTTAGAGAGTATTACTGCTTAAATGGTGGTATTTCTGCTTACCTGCTATATTTGCTGTTACTTGAAGTTGCTCACGTGGGATGTGGGGAAGATAAACCCCCAGAAACTGCCAAGCCTGAAGGGTAGCATGAATCTGCAAGCTGGGACATCGAAACCAGATGAAAACCCCACTATTAACCTGCAGTTTAAAATTCAGCAGCTGGCTATATCTGGTAAGTGACCGTCAGGTAAAGAAGCTGAATGTTTTCTGCTCTGCCAGTGCTCACTCTGCACAGCTGATGTAGCTCTGCAGGCCTTCTGAAGCACATTCTGACAAAGAATTGTATGCTTAAGCAAAAGTTCAATGGATTTTTTGGGTTTTTCTCTCTGTTCTGTGGAACGGCCTATCTACATCCTCTTGCATTTTTTTACGACCCCATAAATAATTTCAGACTATGGTTGTGTTTGTAAGAATGATTCTGTCTGCCTTTCTAGTATGGTCTTCTTTTCCTTGATCCCTCCATCTGCTGTATTTGTGGCAACAGTCAGTTTTATTCTGTCTTTATTTGTTTTTAGGACTGAAAGTGAATCGCTTGGATATGTATGGGGAGAAGTACAAGCCCTTCAAGGGGATCAAATACATGACCAAAGCTGGCAAGTTCCAAGTCCGAACCTAGAGGATCCTGAGAGTGAGGAAAAACACCTTCTTGTTTCTCCTGTCCCTAGCTGCTGGATAACAGCTTCTCCCTGGTCTGTCTATTTAGGGTTACTCCCTTTCCTTTGGTAGCATGAGCAGGATAGCCAGTGCTTATGTGCCAGGGAGGAGGGAAAAATAGGGTTGACCTGAAACTATCTCATCTTTAGCTGAGCCTGAAGTATTTGCAGCTCTGGCAGATGGGAGAGGATTTCAGATCCCTTGGGACCAGCAAGTCAGATATCTGAGTTTGTATCACCTTCATCATTCTGTCTTAAAGGAAATTCTAGGGATTGTTTTTCCAACTGCTGTTTCTTATATTTTGGCTGTGTTTTATCCCTTTGTACGTGATGTGAAGTTCCATTTCCACGGAGTTCAACTGCAGAGTGATGGTCTGGCATTGGCCCTTCTCCATCATTGGATGTGAGGTTGGAGAGCTGTAGCTTTTGGCAGCAGTGAAATTGGCTGGCCTTTGTCCTTTGAAGGGGCTGAAAGAAGTGGAGAAGTAAATTGTCTCAACCAGGATGGGATTTTAAGAAGCACGAGTTTGGGGGAGGTAATGCAGAGGGAGGAAGTGGAAGAATTGAACTCTTTTCCTTAATATTTCTTAGTCTGTCTTGGTCATTAAGTATCTTAAAGATTTTGGGATAGGCTGGAACTCCCTCAGATCTTAATATGAAATCCTGTGGAGAGCTGACTGCAGCACTTAGCTTGTAACCAATGGGCGGTGATATCTGAATGTAGTTTGTTTCTATTCTTATGTCCTCAGTATTTAGAGGTAATTTTTTCCAAGTTTCTTTGGGGCAGAGGCAGGGGAAGAATTTTTGTGGAGATGTAGCACTCTGATGGAAGCCCTTCTAAATTGAAACTGCAGCAAAGTGATGATGGTCACTATTCTGTAGCATGTTGGAATCTCTTTTTCTTTCTGCCTCCCTATTACAAATGAAGGTGATACTGCTGTTTCCCTGCTCACTGGTGTCATTATCTCAAATAATTATGTCCTGGTACCATTGTAATATTCCTGACTGTACTTCATTCCAGTTCCAGTCTCAATTAGCTGCTGTGATAATTGGTGGGTTCAAGCCTGATTTCTCACTGAGACTATCTCTTCTGCAAGAGTTGTTGCTACATAGGCCCATCCCAGTCTGTGCTGCATCTCTCTGTAAAGCTTGAATACGAAATGAGAGACATATTAACAGTTTTGTATTGTTTGCAGTGTGCTCTTTGGCCACTAGATGCCAATGTGTTAATTTCCTGATGACAGGACTGGTTCGTAAACTGCTGTACATGTGATTACAGCATTTATCAGGTGGCTGTGCAATCCAGCATGTGTAGTCCATGCTTGTGAACAGAACAGCATGACCCCAAATAAAGAATAATGTGCTCTCTGTTTTTCCTGTGATGGAAACTAGCAGTGGATGAGTGGCATTTTGCTTTTGGAATTGCATTTTCCAAGTGCAACTGATGAATGCCACAGCAGGTGACCTCAGATTGGGAGCATGTTCATTGCAAACATAAACTTCAACAAAAGCATAAATAAAATTAATTTCTACTTCTCACCTGTGTCATTTCAGAGTGGTTTGTGTGGGCTTTACAAGATACACAGCTGAAGTTTTAGAGGGCATCTGTTAAAGAACCTTAACTGTTAGGAAGTACACTGACACCACTTAGCATTGCATTGCAATGTATTGCATGGCAATTGGAGTGCAAGTAATGTTTGCTTAGTGTTAATTACCAAGATTCTGTTTTGTGATGTCATTGTTAAACTCATCCTGTTTTCTGATAAAGGATAAATGCAGCCTTTGTGTGATATGATCTTTACTTTTAGATAGATGTATGCCTAGCAAGCACTTGAAGAGGCTGCAGTTAGACTTATCCTTTTGCTTTTGCAATGGATGGTAATGCATGGAAATTATGTAGTCAGAAAGTGAGTGTTGATTCTGTGACAGGTAAGACTGTGTTACAATTTTTACCTATTATTTATTTGTTTATATATTTGGCTCCTGTAGGGAGGAAAAGCAACAGCAAGAACAGAGTGTCCTAACAAGCATGCCATTCTGGTTTTGTTCAGATAGCTTAAGCTTAGTCTCTGCTAATAAATTTGTTCCAAACTGAAAAAGCAAGTGGTACATTGATAAGGAAGTAAGCAGCACATGCCTAAACATTTGTTATTTCTATTGGAGTCGGAAACCAGCTTAAATAACCAGAGTAAAACATCATAAGGACAGAGCTTAATCCTAACCAGAATTATTCTAATATGCATCCAAATAAGAATTAGCATTTTTATTTACAAATCCATTGTTAATACTGTGTTACGAAGACTGCAGTTGTAAATTCAGTGGAGCTAAGTGTGGATTATTGTTTTGCTGGACAAGTTTAGACCTGTTGGTTCTTCTTACAGTGGTGGAAACTTTACTGTTAAGCCAGACAAGTACAGAATAACTTAAAATACCTGCATGGTATTTCAACAACAACAAAACCAAAAAAGCACACCTTTGGAATTGTAAAGAAAAGTACATTGAAAAACTTATTCTCCCCTCTTCTGCCCCCACACACAAGTGTTACAGCAGTGTGTTTTCTGAAGGGGACAGTGCACAGTGTGTTATTTTTGCTATGTGAGACCCAAATGGCAATAACCCAAGCCAGAAGAAATCTATGTAGAGTAAAGGCTCAAGCTCAACCCTTCTTTGATTCACCTTGCTGCAGGCAGGTGTATTTTGAGTAAGAAAGTATCTGTATTTCCATTGCACCTCTTTTTTTAAGGATGTTTTTTCATATGAGTTGTGAGACTTTCTGGTCTCGCCCGTTGTTTGTAGGGAGGTATTTGTCTCGTGGCTTAAAAGCTAGAAAAGAATATTCCTCTAAAGAGGAGGGGTGAGGAAGGGGTTTGTGGGAGTAAATTTGAATAATGAACATATTTCACAAAGGAAATTGTTTTTAGGTATGCCCTAGGGCCATGTTAGAGAAGACACGTGTCTGTGTGTCTCTTGAGTCTTGGTGATCTAAAGAGGGAGATGAAAGTATCAGGAAGTAAAATCGGTCTCAGTTGCCTTAAGTTCACCTCTATAGCTCACATTTTGCAAGCCAAAATCTAGTTTTAGTTCTGCCCGTGTGATTTGATGGAAGGAGAAAACTTAGAGATGCAAAGGGAAAGAGCAAGAGCTGTGATAACCTGCAGTGAGAAACGTGGAGTACTGAGAAACTGCCTGTACCACACACAGCAGTGTGTCTTCCACTGAAAGTCATAAGCATCTGGACAGGTAGGATGTCCTGTCAGTATCCTTAAAACACCTCAGAGCAGGTTGTAAGGGCACACTCGTGGGGTTGTGGATAGTTACTTTCTTGCTCAGGATTTCATGTTGTTCTGAATCCAGCTGAGATAACGGTTCACGTTTGTATAAACACCAGGTGTGTCTTTGCGGCCGCAGCCAATTCCCCAGCTGATGATTCCTATTAGATGCATGCGGTCGTCCTTCATGCAGACCAAAGGCCCTCCAGAGTCACCCTGCAGAAAAGTACCAGGTTAGTAAGAACCTCCTTTTTTTGAGTGTATGTTTTGTGTTGTTTCCCTATTCAGTGGCTGTAACGGTACACTAGATGCCATCTCTCATGTCTCCTTAAATACTCTGTGACAAATCAGGACACCATGCTTCCAGTGCTCTCAGTAACAGCACTTTCACATAAGTACCTTCTGTGTTTTAGACAGAATTCTTTAGTGCTCCTCTCGTATCAGAGGAGAGACCCCAAGCAGTCTAAAACTAAGGTGTCTACCCTTGTATAGCACACATGTATGAAACATGAGGCATTTTTGTTAACAACGAGACAAGAAACATCTGTTCAAGCTCCAGGCTGCTTTATGCTATCGTGAGTAACGTGTGATTATTGAACAGATAGTGAAACTGGAAAGGTGCTGATTTTTATTTAGGTATGCTTGCTCACAGAATAGAAAATAATAGGAAACTGCTGAGGTGGGGTTTCCTGTTCAGTTTTGTGGTATTTCCTGTATTTACAATTTTCAGTCTGTATTCTGGTTTGCTTGACTGAATGTAGCTTGCATTCCTAATTATGAGGAAAAGATGGAGAGGGAATTACAAAAGAAAACCCAACAGATAAGTTCTGTTAAACGAAAGTTCTCTAGAATTTCCATGTAGTCAGATGCAGGACTTCTTTAAATGCCTTTTATGAAAATTTCTGTTTAGTTAATTATCAAGAATAGACCTAGGGGGGAAAAAAAAAAAGGGATAAAACTGGGTTTACCTTACAAGCATCATCAAGGTGCCTTGTGTCTCCTGCACATAACATATTGTCTGTAACTGTCCTGTTGTGTAGATGCTTTGTGGTGCATCGACTGGCTGGAAATAGTCTGACGTGGCCTTCCTTCAGGTGCTCTGAATAAAAGGGAGAAACTGAAAGGGATGTGAATATATATGAATACAGAAAAAACATTTTATATAACTTTGCAGTTTGGTTTCTGCAGTTTGGGAGAATACAGTAACTAGTGGCAGGAGAGGAGGGTGGCAAAGCTAATATTTCCTTGCCAGGAGTCTTTTTTAAATTATGGAGGTTCTGCTTTGCCACTGAGAACAATTTAAATACAGTTGAAAGACAATTTTGCTGCTTCAGCAAGCTTAGAAGTTAGAGATTTTTACAGGGTGCAAATTGCTAGGTGTCTTAGGGGGTTGTCTTTGCATGAGTGACATCAATGTAAATGAAGTGCATCTAATAATCACTACATGTATGAAAAGGGATCCTGTATTAGATTTGGGTTAGTTAAAAACAGATGTCTTGTACCAAATACTGAATAACTAGATAGGAATGCACACTCATGTTATCTTGGAATGGAATTGATTTATTTCTGCCTTGTATGTTGGTTTTATTCTTCTGCATAGCTGCAACTGCACGAAGCTGAAAATTGGCAGGGCTGTTTTTCAGTCTGGTTTTAAATTACAATTGCACTGTCCTTTTGCTCTGAAAGAGCTAACTGTTCTCTCTATGGAAAAAGCTAAGGACTAGCTTTAGCTCTTGTAAAACATTTTGTGATAGGCTTGTCTGTTCAAATTGTATGCTAAGTCTGTTCCAAAAGCCTTAATAGCTCAAATCATGATTTGTCCTTGTTACAATGGATGCTTCACAGGTTAGTCTAGATGTACTTCCAGACAGGTTTTACTCCAGGCTTTTTCTTGGCTCTGGTTTTTAAAGTAGCTCTGTTTCAAAACCATTCCTGGTGAGGGGGTTGATACTGCAGGCCTGTCAGAGTTCACAAGGTATTGAGGGCATAATCAGAATGCTGCGATTGAACTTTTGGTTAGCCCTGAAGCAGCCAGGCAGTTGGACTTCATGACTTTTGTAGGTACTGCCCAATTGAAGTGTTCTGATTAATTTGGCTGACCTTTTAATATATATCCAGGACTTTTACACCCTTAGATTATTATTTTTTTGCTAATTGCTGTACAGTCAGTGTATGTTTTTGATTAATGCAACTACCCACAACTGCATGGTATATTAAATCTTGACAGAAATGGATTTCTGTGAGAATGACAATCTCTAAGTTAATAATTAAATACAATAAATAGTACAGCAGAAATGTGGGAGCCTTCACTGACAAACTTTGTCTTATTCACTGTGCCATTTTCTGTGTTTCTACTGTTAGAGTTTCAAGGAAAACTCTGCTAACCAAGGCAGCTGACAGATCTCAGATGAATGAAATAAACCCAAACTTGTTCTTATGTATGTTCCACATACAGGTGTATTTTGGGGTGCAAATATAATTCCATGAAGTAATTCAGGAGTCACAGATTAAACAGTGCTAAAGGCTTGAATTCTTTGGGGCAGAGGACCTAGATTTGGTCACGTCTTCGGCATCTTCTACTTACATTCTACTTCTAATTACATTCTACTTCTAATTACACATCATTTGGCATCTTCTACTTACATTCTTCATTTCTACCATAACCAGAGATCTCACATTCAGTCCAGTCAGGCAGCTGCAGGTCTGGTGTTGGGAGGCAGGCTGCTCGAACAGTATCTGTTTCAATAGCACAGTCTTCTGTGTCTGAGTTCAACTGCAGCAAAGCTGAACAGTGGGGTGGGAAAAAGAACAAGAATCACCACTTGACTAACATCAAGCTTTAGCAAATCACAACCCATCAAAAAGAAATCCTTACCAATATCATTGTTGTAACTCTCTGAGTCGTATCTCTCATGTACAATGTAGTTCTTCACCTGAAACTTTTGTTCCTTCTCCTCTGGAGTTGCTCGAGAAGTCCTGCCCAGCACAATCTTCAGCTGATGAGTACTAAAGCTTTAAAAATGAAAGCGTATTTACTTTCTTCCATTGTTAACTGGAGTAGAACCTTACTTTGAAGATGTGCTGTTGGAGCTTCCCTTATTTTAGTGTTACTACTACTTCATCAATCAGGCAGTTTGATCTCAGATGTTCTGTTTGCTTTAGTTCTTGCACTAATTGCTTAGAGCCACCATGGCAAAGCTCCTCTTGCTATTAGATGGCTCTGCATTCTGTGCTGACAGCTTTGTTCTTTAGCTGTTTGATATTCTGCTGTGGTACCTCAGTGCTAACTAGTTTGTCCAGCAAATGCCTGTCTGTAGTACTGATCACATTTAACTGTACTTCGTTACTGTAGAATGGCTTAGTGGAGTAAATGTCTTTTTCAAGTCTTTCACTCTTCCAGTAAGGCTAATACAGGATGCTTCAATTTTCCAGACTTTTTTTTTTTTTTTTAAATATCATGATTTCCCAAAAAGTACCAAATCCTCAACTCACCCTTCCTCAAAACAGTGAGCAGCTGACAAAACCCAGCAGGAACTGATCAGAATTCCTCCGCAGAGGAAATGTTCTCCGGGTGCTCGGCGATACTTCACAAAGATGGCAGCTTGCCACGGGTGAGCTTCAATGTCTGCATAGGAGCCAACTTTAATCCGGTACTGGCGCGCTCTGTGCTGCCGAAGACCACAGCTGGCTGTAGATGACAAACACAGAAATAGGTTTTTTGTTCAGGGACTCCTGCAGCGAGCCAGGGTCGAGAGTCTGTTGGTTGTCAGTGCATACTGAGGCAGCCTGACATGAACTGTTCGGTATCTGACTCATTCCTGTTTCCTAGGAAACTTGTACTGATTTGAAAAAACACAGTAAAGAAACCCTGTCTTTCCTATTTCCTCGTTCTGTGATCATCTCATCTGGCAGAGGAGGTATTTCTGTGACAGCTGAGGCATAGAATCCCTTTATATCCTAAGGAGCTTTTCCTCATCTCTTGTTTTACTATAAGAGGCTTGCAACATGCAGTACAGTAATGCTGTGGAGAAAGAGAAGAATCAGGAGTGTTAGGATCCTTACAGCAAGTAGGCACATCGCAGTACTCCCATGTGAGCTGTTTTCCTTTCAGTACGTGGCACCAGGGCTTGCTGTCATTGTCAGGATTCCTGCAGTACAGGAAGGAGAAGAAAAACTTGTATCACCAGATCTGCAGAGTTTAGGGAGAAGGAGACACTTAAGGACGGCAGATGGGGTTCTGAGTGTATTCTTTTTGATCTTTTTAAAGACACGGGGCACAAGGCCATGTTACATTTTCATTTATGGACTGTGGTGTTAAAGAAGTGGAGGCAGACCAAGTGGAATGCAAATGACCATAGGCAGTGAGTTTGATTCCCAGCCGTAGCATCCCTACTCTGCTTTGATAACTCATGTAAACAACTGGACCCTGCCTCAACTTTACCACAAGGAAACTTGTTTTTCAGTTCATTGCTTTACTGAATACATACCTGCAGAAATTGTGACTGCCAAGGCCTAGCTGGTAAGCATCTCTTCTCCAAGCAGTATATAACTTGCTGACAATGATTTGAGAATTCCACCTCAAACAGGTGGCTCCAGAACTGGTAACACTGTGACTACCTCGGTAATCTGTGCCTCTTCCAGTTTTGCAATTGATGTTTCCAGCTTAAATAAGAAAGCTGCATGTTAAATGCTGCACGTGAACCATCAGCTGTTCCAATTGTGATTTCTGTCAAGGCTTGTGTATATTGGCTATACTTATCTCAGGCTCTGTAATAAATATTAAAACCTTAAACATGATTTAACGTGAGAATATCTTAACCATTAATTTTCACAAGGCTACGGAGAACTCTTAGAGCTGCCATGACTTGCTATTTATCTAAAGCCCATTCTCTGCACTCCTGCATGTACCTTTTGAACAGGAGGGCACACTGCAGTGTTCCCAGGTGTACTTTCCCCCTTTGTAGACATAGCACCAAGGTCTGGAATCCTCATCTGGGTTTCTGAAAGAGTTATGACATTATGCATCGTTACAAAGCTATAATTACTAATCTCATCTGTGCCATCTAGTTCAGTAACTTGATTGTGCTTAGCAGTGAAAGGATGAAGTGAACCTGCAGAAGTCATCTGTATTCTTATTTTAATTATAAAAGCATGGAGGTGAGGATGAGACAGCCAGTAGCAAGAGCAGATAGCTTGTTTGTGCAGTTTAGATCGTGTGCATGAAGTACTACATTGTAGAGTTCTGAGGAGTGTCTAGATCTGCAGGCAAACGTGATAAGAAACTGGCTTGCAAAGGGGGTTTTTAACACTAAGAAGGCAGCAATGGGCACAAGGGAAAGGCTATGAAGTGAGAGAGGCATGCATTTTGTAGTCTACCAAACATCCTCTCTTAGATGATTCAGAAACAGAAATCTATCAGTTGCTGCTCTTGGACTGCACCATGTTTGCACCTATTCATAGTGTTCTACAATTGGTAGTAGGCTGTTGCAAATAGCCTTTTTTGCCCTAAGCTCTCAGAATAATCAGATTCTTACAGCTTTAGTGTGTTCTCAGTCCCTCACCTGCAATAGTTGTGATTGCCCAATCCCAGCTCAGCAGCATCCTTTCTTCGGCCGCTGTATTTACGGTCCATCAAGCCATTGATATTCCAGTTCAGGCATTCAGCCCCACTCTCTGTTACACTCCACGTACCCCTGTATGTTACTCCAGCATTTTTGTAGCACTTAACTTCAGTATCTGAGCGAGAGGGAACAAAAAACAGCATCACAAATTCTGTTTCCTCTGACTTGTCTCTAAGTCAGTGAAACATCATTCCAAGCAAGTTCTACATATACACAAATGTCTTTGTCTTCAAAAATTAGTATTTTATCAAGATGCCAGAGAATCATAGAGTAGCTTGAGTTGGAAGGGACCTTAAAAATTATCTAGTTCCAGGCCCACTGATGTGGGCAGGGTTGTCAGCCACTAAATCAAGCACTTGATCAGGCTGCACAGGCCTCATACAGCTTGGCCTTAAATATCTCCATTGATGGGGCATCCACACTTTCTCTAGGCAACCTATTCCAGCACCTCACCACTCTCTGAGTGAAAAATATCCCCCTAATATCTAATCTAAATCTCCTCTCTGTTAGTTTAAAACCATTCTGCCTTGTCCTATTGCTATTAGTATAAAAAGTCTGTCTCCCTCCTGTTAGTACTGGAAGCTGCTATGAAGTACTGAAAGGCTGTAATGAGGTGTCCATGGAGCCTCCTCTTCTCCAGGCTGAACAAGCTCAATGCTCTTATCTTGTATTTTTAGGGAGGTGCTCCAGCCCTCTGATCATCTTTGTGGTCCCTCCTCTGGACTCACTCCAACAGTTCTACACCATTATAGTGCTGGGGGCCCACATCTGGATGCAGTATTCCACCTGAGGCCTCATGAGACCCAGAGAAACCCATGTGTCCTTTTCTAAAGTTGTTTGAAGCATTAGCTGTACCACAAAAAGAGGCAACTTAGTGGAGAGACCCCTGTGCAGCAGCAGTTTCTGAGTGCATAATCCTTCTGCACTGCATAGCTAAAGCCAGCAGCGTCGTTCACAGTAACTGGAGCAGCATGCTTACCTATTTCACACTGCTTCCCAGAGAAACCATGGTGACAGAGGCAGATAAAGAGCTGTGGTGAGTAATATGCCTGTGAACACTGGCCGCCGTTGTAGCATTTATTTCTAGTGCAGGCTGTGGAATAAGCAAAAGCCAGGACATTATTTAAATTCACAGAAGTAAGCAGCTGGCAACATGCCCACCTGTCCTCCTCCTGTCAGTCTCCTTTAGCCTGTTCTACTTTCCCCTAACATGTGTATGCAGTGTTAGACTCTTCCTTTGCTCCATTCTCTCCATTAACAGTATCATAAGCTTTTCTCAGCCTCTTGCCCATTCCTCCTTAATTCTGTCTGAGTCAGCGTACAATGATGCTTTCATTTCAAGCCAAATTTTGTGTGATAACTCCTTCCCTGACAATGGAGTTTTTCTTTAGGATGATTAGATGGATATTTATCATCTCCCACCCTTTCCATTCTTTTTCTTCTTCATACTCACCTCTGATGGGCACAGTGTGGCAGTAACTCCGACCACTGTCACACCTACAATATTCCACTCTGCTCCCTGAGAGTCTCAGCCAGCTCCCCCTGTGCTGGTATATTTGTCCAGATGAATAGTCTGTGCAAATAGCTGTAATTGGAGAAAGGGAAGCCTCCTTTAGAGATTCATGGAAAAGACCTTGCTGAGCAAAATAACTCTCTTGCCAGGCTAAAAAGTATCCACAAAGGGATAAATCAATCTAACAGGCCACTCTTTCTTATTCCCAGACCCAAGTTATCACATCTCTGTCGCTGTTATGCTGCTGAATGTTCTGTTCTGCTAATGATCATCCTCATTATGACTCTGAAGAACAGAGAGAGAAAACATTGCTCTTTCAGGTGTGGATGGTAATACTCCACTATTTTGTCTTCCGAATCTGCTGTTCTCAGGGTTGCCCCTCAGCCATGGAAAACAACTTTCAGGCTCCATTCCTTCAGTGTCATTTCCTTTCCTCTTCCCTGTTTTTAAAGCCTCTGGGTCATGCAGAGTAGTTTGCCTGGCTTACCTCTAGATCTGGCTCCCCGTTTGTAACGCATGTGCAAGCCCTGCAAACAGAGGAGGTGAATTCTGTGAGTAACTGCTCTCTTAAGCAAACTGAGAGAACAAGTGCCTTCAAGAAGCCACACCTCTTCTCGAGGTCTTGAAAATCAAGGAAACAGTGAGAACTGTGTTAAGTATTTCAACATGGGTACTGAAAAACAGCAAATAATTTAATTAGCACAGATTATCAGGTTACTGCTCGTCACTTGAGTGATGTGAACTCGGTGTGTTGTACTTGCATCATTTGTGAAGTATTTATGTGCTGGTGGAGCACTCCAACTGCTAACTAAAGCTTGTCAGCTTTCTGCTCTTTGCAGGAGATCCATGAAAATAATTTGCGAATGTGTAAATGTGAACAAGCTTGTTTTTGCTCGGCAGCTTTTGCTTGCAGTTCCCCTGTGAGTACTTTGATTAACTTTCATTTTTCAGAGCATTGTGTTAATAAGATTAGTCATAACAAGAGCTCAGCATGGACTGGATGCGTGTGCAATGAAGTGTGATCCTTCAGTGAGAGACTTTCACTTGCTGCCCATCATATTTAAATACTGAAAGTGGACTGGGAGGAAGGAGCAGAAAGGTACGGATGCATATCCTGCAGCCAATTATTCTTCTTCCTCATTTCTAGCAGTAGAACTGGATCCTTCCTTTGTCTGATACATACAGCTGGAGCCAGTGGTAAGAAGAGCTGCTGAAAACTAGGTTAAGTGTCTGGATGGCAAGAACATGACTTGATGTGTCACCCTCTTACCTGGCACTGGGCAGTCTTGATTGCTCCCACCAGCAGAAGGAGACTTAGGAGCTTGCCTTTCATTCTGAGTGTTTTCCACATCACCTCCAGAGCTCAAGTTGTCTGTGGAGGTAAAAGAAAAAATAAACTGTTGAAAAGGATGTTTTACAGCATAAACGACTTTCAAAGCTTCAAGTTTAAATAATGAGAATGCTTTTTACATTAAAATCCACTTTTTTTCTCTGCAGCTCTCTGCAATTCAGTCTAGTTGTGAATACGGATCTTTGCCTCCACTCATCTCATTTGCTTTGAAAATCTGCTTCTTCCCTCATTAGAAATTAACTTCTTCCCTGGAAAAATTCCTGCAAAGATCTGGTTACAAATAATTACAGGTAGGACGTTTGGATACTGTGATCCTGCTGTATTTCATGTTATTGTTGCAAAATACATACAAGTATTGGCTTTGAATGGGAAGTTTCTTGGCAGAAGCATGAATTTGGGATTCTGTAGCTTCTGACTGCAGGGGATGGATATGTCACAGTCTTGAACTCGGTTCTCTTCACCCAGTTTGTTTCCTAACAAAGGAGGCAGATGGTTTCTTTCACTGAGGCTAAGAAATATTGTTTGAGTGCTGCCTGGTTTTGAGTGCTCACTGGACAGAGAACACATTGTGAGCATCAGGGGACATCTTCACAGCAGCGTCAGTCCTGGGTACGTGGAAATGTTGTTGGTGAATCTAAGCAATACATGTTCTTTCCTTTGCTGGCCAAAATGGCATTTCTTATCTCATTCTCATGTCACAAAAATGCAGATGGTCTAATATGTGTAAATGGCCTGCAGTCTTTTGCTCTACTGCATCCTTTTTTTCCTTTCTGTTTTTTTCCTGTTCCAGCTGGTTTATATTATGGTGCTACACCCTTTCTTTTCTTCTTCCCTTCTCCTATGCCTTTCCAACCATGGATGATTGGTGTCCTGCTATACATGGAAAACTGTTAACACATTTTAGCAGATACTTTTCAGTCTTGAGAAAGGTACAGTATATGCCAGTAGATTGGAATGTTCTGAGTGATAAGCCTATCACACTGAAACCACGTAGCTGTTTGAAAAATACTGTGTTTACAAAACTCCAAGTGGAAACCTGCCAGCAGTGTGCTTTCTGGTAAAGTTCTCTTAAGCAGACACAGACCTTGCATTGACCTAAAGAACACTGCAGATGTATTGGTTTTGCTGAAGCATCATTATCAGTAATGCTTTAAATTACACACTTCCACTATAATTTGTTAACAAGCTGAGCAATACTCACTCTCTTAGTACAATCTTACAGATATGGCATAACACCTCAATTTTTTTTTCTTTTTAAATACAGCTTAAAAGGTCAAACAAAAAGTCATTGGTAGTGATTGAAAGTAGCTCCCTCTTCTGTTTACCCCTCAGTAACCTAGAGAACCAGGAGAACTCCCTGCTGTTGCAGCCTGAGGCTGTTTGCCTTTTTACTGGAACTGCTGAGGCTTGAAGCAACTGGAAGCTAGAAGTCTCATCCAGCATCGTATGTCTCCAGAAACTGAAAGGCAATAGCTCAGTTGATTAACTGCCATGGTATTTTAGTAGAATTTATTGAAAGCATGATAATGCCAATCATGTCAAAAACAGAAAATGCAGTTTTTGAAATGGGTACAGAGTAGCACATACCTTTTTTGGCTTTTCCTCTCTTGTTTTCTGCTGCTGATTGGCTTCCCAGACCGCTCTGTTTTTATGTTTTCCACATCTCTGTTACAATCTCTGAAAAGCTCCGTCCTACTTAAAACTGCACTGCAAGGGGTGGAGCCTGAGGAGGGCAGGAGGGTGTGCTTCCCACTCCTCCAAGAGAAAAAACAGCAGCCAAGATCTTGGGATGGTCTGGGACAGAGCGGCACGCGTCCAAACTGTGAGGTTTCTGCATGGGACAGGAGGAGAGCTGACTTGTGGATTTTACATACTGGATTTTGCAGCCAGTTTGCTTTGTTCATTCAATCGGAGAGCAGATGCAGCCTTCAAAACAAACTTTTCTGCATTAGGCACCTTAAACTTCAATGAGACTGAGAATGGTACAAAGAGCCACAAAGAGCTGTCTTGTCTCATTGTGCTTCTAGGAATGTGAGGGAGGAATGGAGTAGGAGCACCTCAAGTGAATGCACGGGGCTGTCGTTTCCAACATGACCAGAGGCTGCAGGCTGAGCAGTAATGCTGAGAAACTCCTGCTTTGAGCTGGAGCAGCGTGCTGTACTGGAATGACATCCCTCAGAATCTTGGGCACAGAGACCTTGTGTCACAACATGCCTCATTGTGCTGGAAGAAGAAAGAACTCCAGAGTTAACTGATAACCATGAAGAAATGTTAGGACCTGTAGGTAGAAATAAGGAAGACGTGTTAAGGACCAGAGCTAAATGTTCACTGGTAATGTCCCAGAAAATGAAACTTCTCAGCCAGAGTGAAAAAACCAACAGTCACGAAGTTCTACATTATGAAAGTGCAGCAGCCAAATCCAAATGAGGAATTTTAGAAGCGAGTTTAGAACTGGGTTATGAAAACTATTGATGATACAGTTGTTACAGTAATAGGTGTGTGCAGACTTTTAGGAATTGGTTCTCTAGAAATTGGTTTCTGATAAAATTTAGTGTGAGCACAGACAGAAACAGCATATGAGGGGCTCCCATTTTCAGGAAGTAAGTGCACAGAATCCTGTCAGCAAACATGTTAAGGGTCATTTTGCACATTGGCAAAGAGGAAGCTATTTCTCTTGAATGTTTAGGTCTTCTCTATATGGAAATCTGTGTCAAGATTGTCATCCGTATCTGAGTAACACTGCAGGTGTTAACGTGAATGCTACAAATCTGCTTTAGGAACAGTTGGAATTGACTGTTTCCAGAGGCGTCTGTATTGAGAAAGGATGGTTGGGCACTGCTGAACAAATGGGTTAACTTCTATTTCTTTTAAAGACAATATTTTTTTTTGCTACTGGAGTTGCTTCTGCAGCCCTGCGTCCAGGGCTGGAGCCCCCAGTACAAGAAAGACAGGGAGCTGTTGGAGAGGGTGCAGAGGAGCCACAGAGATGAGCAGGGGCTGCAGCACCTCCACCACGAAGACAGGCTGAGGGAGCTGGGCTCGTTCAGCATGGAGAAAAGAAGCTGCGGGGTGACCTCAGTGCAGCCTGCAGTGCCTGAAGGGAGCCTGCGGGCAGGAGGGGAGTCAGCTCTGTGCAAGGGGAGATGGCAGCAGGACGAGGGGAAATGGTTTAAAGCTGAGGGAGGGCAGCTGGAGGTTGGATGTCAGGGGAAGTTGTGTGCTGTGAGAGTGATGAGGGGCTGGAACAGCTGCCAGAGAGGCTGTGATGCCCCGTCCATCCCTGGAGGTGTTGGAGGCCAGGCTGGATGGGGCCCTGGGCAGCCTGGGCTGGTGTGAAATGTGGAGGTTGGTGGCCCTGCGTGTTGGAGCTTCATGATCCTTGAGGTCCCTTCCAACCCTGGCCATACTGTGATTCTAGATTAAAGATTCTAATGTAGTAATAGCTTTCAGGGAAGATTTCAGAAGTTATTTCCTAGTTTTTTGCAGCTTAAGGACAACTGTAGCTAAGAGTGCTGTGGGTGCTATGTGCACGTCTTACTGTGCTTTAGGAAAAGCTTTTTTAGGAAAGCCTGCAGTAATAATACCTTTTCTATTCTGTATCAGGATAGGGCTTCTTCGAGACTGCTGAGTTAGAGTGCATCCCTACACGATATCTGGATACGCCTCAGCTGTAAGGCAGCTGTTCAGGTGCTGCGTGGAGCCCCTGCTTTCATTTCCACACCAGATGCAAATTGCAGGAAACACAATAGGCTGAAGGAACTTGGGTTCAGGCTTTACGTTGCCTGGTAAGAACCATATCATTTTTACAATAAATACCAGCCATGGAACGCATCCCTACTGCAGCCAGAACGGTCCCAAGTCTCAGAATTTCTTCATCGTAGACCCGTTCCGCTTCCTTCATCGCGTTTGTAACCGCGGTGTGACGGACGCAGGAAGGCGGTTGCGGCCCCTTTAAGGGCCGCCTCCTACCACGTGCCTCCGGAACCGGAAGTGCCCGCAGAGTCGGCCGAGGTCCCGCGGAGTCGAAGCGCCGCGGCCCAGCCATGAGCCGGCCGCCGGCTCTGCAGGCGCAGACCTGCGGTCCCTGGGAGATGAAGGAGCGCCTGGGTACCGGCGGCTTCGGCAACGTCATCCGTTGGCACAACAAGGTAAGTGGCGGCCGGCCCGCTCCTCTGGGCCCGACCCGACCCGCGCTCAGCCGCGCTGTGTCCGCAGGAGACCGGCGAGCAGGTGGCCATCAAACAGTGCCGGCAGGAGCTGAGCCCGCGCAACCGCGACCGCTGGGCGCTGGAGATACAGATCATGAAGAGGTGAGCGGGCGGGAGCGGGGCCTGGCGCTACGGCCGGGCTGAGCGAGGCTGAACGCCGCCAATTCGCCGGGCCTGGCCCTGCGAGATGTGTTGTGATGGTTGCGATAAGGGAAGGGCGGGAGAATCGTATAGAACCATAGGATCGTATAGAGCTATATAGCATCATAAGGTTGAAAACGACCTGCAAGATCATCCTATCCAACCTCCCATCACCATTGCTACCACAAGCACTAAACCAGACCTCGCAGCTCCTCATCCAGACGCCTCTTGAACGCTGCCAGGGACGGCGACTCCACCACCTCCCTGGGCAGCCATTGCAGTGCCTGAGAGAAAAAGTTCTTCCTTATGTCCAACCTAAACCTCCTGTGCTACAACTTATGGCTGTTTCCTCGGGTACTGGTTGTTGCCTGGGAGGAGGCCAAAGCCCTCCACATCACAACCTCCCTTCAGGAAGCTGTGGAGTGCAGTGAGGTCTCCCCTGAGCTTCCTCTTCTCCACACTGAACAACCCCAGCTCCCTCAGCCACTCCTCATAAGACTTGTGCTGCAGACCCCTCATCAATTTCATTGCCCTTCTCTTCATGTCTTATTTGTAGTGAGGGGCCCAAAACTGAACACAGTACTCTGAACATGCTGAGGAAGATCTTGCTTTGTTATTTCTCACAGCTTTCTTGTTCAGCTGTTCTGCTGGTGTCTTTGGTGTTAAAATGGTTATGCTGTGTTCAAGCATGTGCTGGGTGGTGCTTTGGACTGATTGCAGCTGGGGTCCTGCTGGGAGGTGAGAGCAGGCTGTCAGCATTGAGCTTTAAGTGTAGTTCTAGTAGTTCTATGCACACCTCTTGTGGATGTGTTCATGGAAAGTACTGGCTGCCATAGAGCTGGGATGAGTCTATAGGCCTGTGAGGGAGGGAAGGATGAATTGCAGGCCTTTAGAACTGGCTGTTTCAGTTTCTAAAAGCATTAATGGCCCTGTAGGACTTAACATGACAACCACGAACTTGTGAGACCGTGCACCTATTTGAGAAGGTGTTTTCCCAGGTTCTGATGATGGTGTGTACTTGCCTCGTTTCTGTTTCTCAGGCTGAATCATCCAAACGTGGTGGCTGCCCGTGATGTTCCTGAGGGAATGCAGAAGCTTGCACCAAATGATTTACCATTGCTGGCCATGGAGTACTGCCAGGGCGGAGACCTCCGCAAGGTGGGGTCACCAGTGTGTTGCTGTGGTTGAACCTGGCTGGTGGCAGCCATTCCCTCACTGTTGTTTCCTTCCCAGTGAGATGGGGGAGAGAATTGAAACAAATAAATAAAAACTAGGACTTCACAGAATGGCCAGGGTTGGAATGGACCTCAAGGATTGCGGAGCTCCAACCCCCTGCCACATGCAGGGCCACCAACCTCCACATTCAACACCAGCCCAGGCTGCCCAGGGCCCCATCCAATCTGGCCTTGAACACCTCCAGGGATGGACGGGGCATCACAGCCTCTCTGGGCAGCTGTTCCAGCACTTCACTGATCTCTCAGCACAGAACTTCCCCTGACATCCACCCTAAATCTCCCCTCCCTCAACTTCAAACCATTTCCCCTCATCCTGCTGTCATCTCCCCTTTCCAACAGTTGAATCCCCTCCTGTTTGTAGGCTCCCTTTAGGTACTGAAAGGTTGCAAAGGACTTGTGGGTTGAGATAAAAAAAACTCTTTACTGAGTTAGAGAAAAGGATACAGCCATTTTGCATGTAGAAGATAAGAGCCTGTGTGAGGGATGTGCAACAGGATCTGGAGTGTGTCCAAGACCATTGTAGCTCAAGGTGCAGTCCCTATCTGTTACAGGAAAAAAAATACAATTACTAATGCTGGTTCTTATCTTACTGTTTTTCTTAAACTTTGCTATAACCTGCCCATAGGTGAGACCTGTAACTTACAGCTGACAGTGGAGCTGACATTACCAGGCTCCGGGGGAAATGTTTATGAAGGACACAGCGAAGTTGCAGTAACACAGACTTTTTCCCCCCACTCTTTCTTATCCCATGGATAATTTAGGCTTAAAGCTCTACTTATAGCTATGAGGGGTCCCAGTTCCACAGTTTTGTCTGTAAAAAAATTCAGTTGTTCATGCTTCAACATCCTGTGTTTTAACAATCTGTGGGACTGAGATCCTCCAGTGGGACATAGGGTGGGGAAGCTATAGCATGTGGCGTGGAGAAGCTGTCATTTGTGATGCTTTCTTGCAGTACCTGAATCAGCTGGAGAATTGCTGTGGTTTGCGGGAAGAAGCTATTCTCATCTTACTGTCTGATATTGGTAAGTGATGGCAATATCTTACAAGCCTGAGCTGCAGAAGTGTTGAATCACTGCAGCAGTGACTTCAACCAGCGTTCTTGCTTTGCTGACCCACTTTGTAAGAGAGTGAGCCTTTGAGGTTTTCTTCTTTTGTTTTTTCTTGACATTTTCTGCCTGGAAAAAACTCCCTGGAACTGCTATCAAGTTTTTGTTTTTCTTGTTTTTCCTTGCAACACACTTTTAAATTTTATCCAGGAAAAAAAAAAAAGAGGCATTGTGAAGTATAACTTTGAGCAAGTGTGGAAAATAAAGGGCATTTATCTGACTGTGGTGTGTTCTTAAGATCAGATTTTTATCTTGTTTAGATGGAATTTCCTAGTTTTGGGGTGGCAGTGGCTCTGTGTGACAATTTGGAAAATTCTTGTGAGTCTGAAATGGGGTGAAAGGGGTGAAGGGTGAAATGGGGAGGGCACCACTTTATGGACAGAACCTGACAAGATGTGTGGCTTTTGGATCCGGATTTAAAACTGTTGAAGAAATGGGCAAAGAAGAGCTGAGTAGAGGCATTTATCCAGTGAAGAGATGCTTTTTACTTCTACCAGCTGTTACAATTTTTTTTTTAACCTTTAGTACTTGGGAATGGGTACAGAAATGACTTGAAGAGAAAGAAATCTATGGTAACTTTTAAAAATATCACTGCCAAGAGAACAAGTTTGTGTCCAGAAGTGTTGGATGCTAACTTCTTCCTCTTGCACTTGGGATTTTATTTTTCAGTCAGTTCTCATGTCCTCTGTGCAAGATTCAGCTCAAACATCATGCTTTTGTACCACGTAGAAGTGAAACCTTAGCAAGCTCATACTGGGTACTTTGACATTCTTAGCAAGTGGCTCTTTGTGTCTCAGCCTCTGCTCTCAGGTACCTTCATGAGAACAGGATCATCCACAGAGACTTGAAACCAGAGAACATTGTGCTGCAGCAAGGAGAGCAAAGGGTAAGCAGTAATGTGGTGTCTCTGCCTACAAAGACAGGTAAATGTAAGTGGAGAATGTGTGTGTGCCTGCTGCAGTTACAGAGGTGAACATGCAGAAGCAGTCAACCTCGGGTAACGGCTCTCTCAGATCTGTTTGTCATTCAGCACCCTTCCTGCATATCTTTGAAGTGCTGAACTGGTTTTTTCTGCTATATGTTCATGTTCTTTTTTTCTCTTACGTTTCAGTTAATACACAAAATCATTGACCTTGGTTATGCTAAGGAGTTGGATCAGGGAAGCCTATGCACATCCTTTGTTGGGACACTACAGTACTTGGTAAGGAAGAAATTCAGCCAGATGGGCAACTCTCTTTGTGGGGCAGAATTAACAGTGTAATTCAGGTTTGGTCTGGGGTGAAGGAATTGTCTTGGTATGGGGTGCATTTGGAGTGCTGCAGCTGACAAAGAGAAGCTTCCTTCTGCTGCCTTGTTTCCTTCTGCTGCCTCCCACCCCCACTGGATTATCACAGTGTCTATGATAACACAGTGTATTGCATTTATAAGAAGCAGGAGTGTTCTGTGAGATCTCAAAGTGTTTCAGCACAGCCATTAATGTGATGCAAATGTTCCTGAGCTCTTAAGGAGCAGAGAGAGCTGGGAGATGGATGGCTTTGACTTTTGCATGTGTAAACTGTCTCAGGCTCCAGAGCTGCTGGAACAGCAGAAGTACACAGTTACAGTGGATTACTGGAGCTTTGGCACGCTGGCTTTTGAATGCATTACAGGCTTCAGACCATTCCTACCCAACTGGCAGCCAGTACAATGGTGAGTGACCTTGGCCCAGGTGATAAAAAGAATGCATGCAGTGCCACTGTCCTGTCTGTGGGAAGTAGAGCTGTGGTCCCTTGATTCTTTAGGGTAATATCCCTGTATTCCATACCCTTATAGAGATTGACTTCTTTTACTTGAGCTAGTTGAGCATTCCTTAGATTTCTCTTTGGAATCAAGGCTGACTCCTGCAGGGCAAGTAGCAAAGACTCAAGCAGTGTCTTTGTTTTAACTGTAAAAGTTTGCTGGGAAAGGCAAATGATAACTTCACTGTTGTGCTTGCTTGGAATTCATCAGGCATACGAAAGTGCGACAGAAGAGTGAGCTGGATATTGTTGTTTCAGAAGACTTATCTGGAGAAGTCAAATTTTCCAGCAGTTTGCCCTGCCCAAACAATCTGAACAGGTGAGGACTGGAAATCTATTGTGATCTGCTGTGCCATACTGAAATGAGCTTCTTACTCTGTGAATGGACCACGTTTAGTTTATATGCCTTTCTGTAAATAAGTTGGGTGCTTGACACAAACAATGCTTGTGTTCCTTATCAGACGTGTAGGTGAGTCCCCATTTCTGCCTTCTAAAAAGTGCCTTTACACTCGGGAAAAGAAAATTGGTTATCAGTTCTGCAGAGGCTTGGCCAGGTGAGGACTGCAGATGCATTTCCTTTTCTGATCCCATTCTTGCTTTGGTCCTTCAGCGTTTTGGCTGGGAAACTGGAGAAATGGCTGCAACTCATGTTAATGTGGCACCCACGGCAGAGAGGTACGGATCCTGTCTATGGGCCCAATGGGTGTTTCAAAGCTTTGGATGACATCTTGAACATGAAGGTGAGCAATACACCTGGATTACTTTGAAAACTCTTCCAGAGAGCAGTTGAATCTAGTCCATGAGAGAAGAGCCTTGAGTCATCAGCCTAGGAGGAGGAGCAGCACAGAACCCTACTTAGGAGTGTGCTTTCCTCGTGCTTTTTGGAGAAGCTGATGTTGATGGGAGTAGCAAATAGCTTCTGTATGTTCTTGGTCCTGTATTCTGGCAAAGGTTTCTACTGAAAAAGCTCTTTAATTGAAACATGACTTCTCTTCCAGCTGATGAAGGGTGAGGTCTTGAGCGTATAATGTTATGATGTAGCTGCAAAGTGACTTCTTGAACTTTGCAAGTGCTTTGAAACAGTTTATTGGTCGTCGTCGTCTCAGTCCAGAGGTTTCTGCTCAAACGTAACTTATGCATTTTCAGCCCTTCTCATGTCACACTGATCTCCTTTTAGTTACTGCATGTTTTGAATATGGTTACGGGAACTGTGCACACCTACCCTGTGACAGAGGAAGAGACCCTGCAAACAGTGAAGGCCAGGATCCAGTCAGACACTGGGATCCCAGAGCAGGATCAGGAGCTGCTGCAGGAGGCTGGTCTTGCATTGTTTACTCAGAAGCACACAGCTGATAGCAAGGTGAGTCTGGATATTCTCCTTCCTTGGCTGTTCAGTGTATTTGCAAGTGCAGCTCTTGCACTGGGAGTACAGCACTCCCTGCTGTTCTGGCAGGCCTTAGGCATTGTAACCACTTAGACCTGCTCCCTTGCAGGATAGGCACTGTGTTCTCTTGCATTTTTCTGTGGTGTTATTGAGGCTTGCTTTTCTTGAGAGAACTCCATTGAGTCTTCTGTCTTCTGCAGGTGAACGATGCTGCAGCTGCAGACACAGACCTCCTCTTCCTCTTTGATAATCAGAAAGTTGCCTATGAGGCTCAGGTTGCCTTGCGACCTCATCCGGAAAGCGTTGACTACATCCGTAAGGACTTTCTCTAGCATGAATGTGAGAGGTTGTTCATGTTGAGAGGGCTGCCTGTGTTCTGTAGTCTGTATCGTGTGCAAAGAGCAGAGAGGGGTTTTGTATATTGGTGCTGGAGCAGTGATAAAACAGCCTGGCACAGCATTTATTCAGCTTTTAAAAACAATTGAGGGAAGGAAGGGTTTAATAACACTGGGGAGGCTGCGTGGAGGGTAGCCAGCTATGAAGTTTACAAGAGGTTTGGCTGCATGCCTTTCGAAGGAGTGATGTTTCAGTCTGTTTTGTCACGTGAGAATACTACTTCTAAGCTTCACACTGATTTCCCTCCACCCATTTTTCTGTTTCCAGTTCAGGATCCAAAGAAGAATCTGCACTTTTTCCAGCTGAGGAAAGTTTGGGGTCAGATCTGGCACACGATCAGGATGCTGAAAGAGGATTGTAACCGGCTGCAGCAGGGACAGCGAGCAGCCATGTACGGTGCCAGTCTGACTGGGACACATATTTCTGCCTTTGCTCCCTGGTGGAAGTTGAAGGGCAGGAATAGCATCCTGTTAGAATGGGGAAGCCCATGAGTGGAGCTATTAACAACTAGTGGAACACTGAGAATTGTGTTCTTTAGCACAGCTGCTTTTGTGCTCGCTGCTACGCTCTGTTGTGTCTGCTTTTGTTCTAAGTGGAAGCCTGCATTTCTACCTTGGGAGGATAACAGGACGTTCTTGTCCACGCAGGATGAATCTGTTGCGTTACAACAGTACTCTCTCAAAGATGAAGAATTCTATGGCCTCCCTTTCCCAGCAGCTGAAAGCAAAACTGGACTTCTTCAAAACAAGCATTCAGATTGATCTTGAGAAGTATAAAGAGCAGATTGAATTTGGAATTAGTGAGTACAGCACCTTGCTTACAGGGCTTTTTTACATCACACACGGTATCTTACCTTTCCCTGTGTGAATTTGAGAAAAGCAATTGTTCTTTTTTATTCCTGTAGCTTCTGAGAAGCTGCTCTTTGCCTGGAAAGAGATGGAGCAAGCTGTGGAGCTTTGCGGTCGGGTATGTTTCTAAATCTTCATCACTTATCTAAGAAAGAAAGAGGTTTTTTATTCCCCTTTTGTTTTCCTTTCAATAGAAACTTACTGTGCTGACTCCGCACATCGCACTGCCTTGCTTTGCATTGCATCTTTTTTGTTTTTTCCTTTCACCAGTTTTTGCAGGGAGGTAGATTTTTGTCAAGAAAGCTGAAAGAAGGATTTGGGATGATAGGTTAAACTGAACAGTAAAACAAATGATGAGATGATTGAACACAAGACAGTGTAATATCTGTCAGTACAGCTAAGGGCTCTCCCAAATGAGGAGTGAAAAGTAACTGGCTGGATGAGCCTTACTCTGTCCCAACACTTGGTCCTCCTCCAGCTGAAGAATGTGGAGTGGTAGAAGGCCTGTCTGACAAGTGACAGCTTCTGCATATGAACAAGTTCTGGTGAAAAGCAGAACTTGGGGTGCCAGTACTGGATGCAGTTGTCTGCCAAGTGAAAGGGGGGAAGAGACGATAGGTAGGATGAGAGAAGAAATCCGGAGCAGTGAATAAATGAGGAGGAAGCATTGCACCCTGGAATCTAGAGCCACACGTATTATGAACTTGTGTTCTCACTTTTCTTTGCCCAAGGCTGTTTGCTGCTTTGTTGACATGTTTAGAAATAGGAATGAGAAAGGAAGAGTTGGTGAGTAGTGGTGTCTCTCAATGTGTGTCTGCCTCGTTGCTTATGTTCTGCTCTGCTTCCAGGAGGATGATGTGGATCAGTTAGTAAAGAGAATGATGGCCCTGCAAACAGACATTGTGGACCTTCAGAGAAGCCCATTGGGTCGTAAGCAAGGAGGGACACTGGAGGATTTGTAAGTGTCAGATGTAGGAGTGTTGCTAGCAAAACTGAACCCCTTGTTTCACTGCAGGACAATGAAGTTGCTCTCTTCAGTTTAAATTATAGGGGACTTAAAAAATTAAAACCTAACAAGAAAAAGTTTGACTCCTCACCTGTTGATCTGAAATAGCAGATTGTTATATAAGAGATTGGAGTTCTTGCATTACTCGTTCATAATTTAGGTCCTAGAGAAATCCTTTGTGTTCTGTGCCTTTTTCTTCTAGAGAAGAACAAGCCAGAGAGTTGTACCGGAGACTGAGAGAGAAGCCAAGAGGTAAAAGATATTTTATGTCAAGTTCAGCTTGCTTTCTGTGGGTTGTAACTTTGAAGATGGAATCATCTGCATTGAGAAAACTTTCTGTGCATTTTAGGCCTTCACTTATGTTAGCTGTACATGGAGTCCTCTGGATTTGCCTATTTTGGAGAGGGGAGTCAGGGACTCAGTTTTGAACCAGGCCAGCCTTGCTTTCTTGACATCTGAGCTGTTCTTGGAACTTCAGAGCTCTTCTCAGAGTTACTGCAAGCGTGTGCTGCTGCTTCATTTTCTGTGTAGGAAGCATGAAAGATGCAGCTGGTTGTTTGAGCAGCTCTATAGCCCTAAGGCAGTAAACCCAGCCTACAACTCTGCTTTCCAGTTCTCATCTCTTGGTGGCTAAAAAGCAGTGCTCTTCATCCCACCCAAACATGCATGTCCTCTATACTTGGGATGTTTCAGGATTGAAGAAAAGGTGGAAACAAACCACTAAGAAGCTTCTCACTGTGATAACAGCCCACTTCGCTGTGTAATATTCTGTCTCTTATTCCAGATCAGAGGACAAGTGGTGACAGCCAGGAAATAGTGAGGCTGCTCTTACAGGCAATCCAGACCTTTGAAAAAAAGGTCCGAGTCATTTATGCTCAACTCAGGTGAGCTTTGTTGTTTGCTTCTATTGACTGTTGAGAAAATGGCTCCTCTTTCAGCGAGAGCTTCTGTCCTAGCAGTGTAAGAAACAGTTTTGCCTGTGCTTTAGGGCTTAAGAAATTTCAAAGACTTCCTCTACTGCAATTGATAATCTGTGATCTAATTTATTACTTTGTTTCTGTAAAGCAAAACTGTCGTTTGCAAGCAGAAGGCACTGGAATTGTTCCCCAGAGTGGAGAAAGTGATGAATCTGATGAGTGAAGATGAAGAAACAGTTGTAAGGCTTCAGGAGAAACGACAGAAAGAACTGTGGAACTTATTGAAAATTGCTTGTGTAAGTAAAATAAAAACTCTGTTGTTAAGATTGCAGCACACGCAATATCTGAGATAAGAATAAGTTGAGTTTATCCTATGGTTTGTCTTCATTGCCTTGAGTTAGGATTAAAGATGGTTTCTAGGCTGTCTTGTGTTGCTGGCTATTGGAAATAAGTGGAAAGAATTGCAATTTCAATCTGCTGTCTCTTCTTTAGAGCAAAGTACGTGGTCCTGTTAGTGGCAGTCCAGAGAGCATGAACATGTCACGTCTTAACAGCCCTGGTCAGCTGCTGCTGCAGGTCCCTTCTGGGACCTATGCTTTACCAGAATCTGTCAGGAAAAGGTGAGCTGAAGGCTGGGCTTCTGTTACTGCTTGTGTCAGCTCTGCAAACTGATACAGAAGCTTTCTTACATTTCATGCTTAGTGCTCAGTTGCAGTGTCAGTAGTCCTACCTACCCAGTGGCTGTTTTAGGTTGGTTGGTTGGTTGTTTCTTCTGGGGTTTGTGAATATTCCTTATGAACAACTGGAAATGAATTTAACTGCATGCCCCTCACTGCAATGAATAGGGTTTGTTTTATCTGGGCTTGTTGGGCCTACTTGAAGTGCCCTGCCAGCAGGAATTGTGTTATTGTGGAAGGAAATGAATGGTAGGAGGGCTGTGTCAGGAAAGAGAGAGTGCTCTACCAAGCACTTGTAGTTCTGGCTTGTTTAAAGCAACTGGGTCACTAATTAAAATGAGACCTCAGCTTGTCTATTTGTACATTGCTTCGTGTTTGAGTTTACAGGCTGCTCTAAAACGTTTTCTCTAGTAGCAGTGGCTCCATCTAAGAACCCAATCCCAATTTGAACACGCTTCCTTTTGTCCCATGCCAGTAAATCTGCCACTGACTTCCCCTGGTGCAAAACAAGTTAACAAGCTGATTGCTAAAGGTTAATGTTCCTCAGTGCTGTGCAGTGTACCTTCACAAAGTATTTCCTAGAGAAATGTGCATGGAAAATAATTGTCAAACACTCATCTTTCAGTGAGGAGCTACTGCTGGAATCGCAGAAACTGTGCAGCCAACTCGAAAACGTGATGCATGACACGATGAAGGATCAGGAGCAGAGCTTTATGGTAAAATGCCTGATATTCCTGTGCAAGTGTGGACCAGGGAAGCTGATTGCTTAACGCTTCTGTTTGTGTATTTTTGCCCACTCAATAAGTGAAATGGTGAATAGAAACCTGGAGCTGTGTGAAACGAAACCACTTGCTCTCCCATTTGAACTGCTGGCACATTCCCTGCTTGCTGAGAGCGGAGGCCACATCTTTGGGTTCTCAGCCATGTTAGGCCAAATTGTAAAGCAGCAGGGATACTCAGGCCTCCCTTTCTTGGAAGGGCAGGGGCAAGTGGGGGAGGTGCTTGTCTGTGGTGCAGAAATGTTGCACAAGTGCACTTTTCCCATTGGATGGATCTGTGGAAGCTACACACTGGTGTGCAGGGATGCTTATTTACTGCAGTAGAATGCTGACATGCAAGTAAAATATAGAAGGGAAGAGTTTAAAGCTGTGTCTTTCCATTTAAATAAATCGCATCGTTCATCATGAAACCATACTGACCAAGTTGTTTGCAGTAAAGTTTTTAAATCAATCTCAAATACAAGCCAGCACTGAACTTTGTATTTCTAACTCTTTATACTTCAGGCTCTCGACTGGAGCTGGCTTCAGCTGCAGGCAGAAGAAAGAAGCAATCCAGAACAAACCCATATGTAAAACCACCTCAACTGCCTCTAAAGACGTGCGAGCTGAGTAAGCCAGCTGTGATAATCTGCTGTCTCTAGGAAGGGAAGTGCCTCTTTTTACTGCTGCCTACTGCTTACGTGAGATACGTGGCACAGCTTCCAGTATCCACATCTCAGATACTTCATTTCTGAAAGATGCAGTAGGAAATGCTTATCCTGACTGCTTGGAAAAAGTTCTTAACAGTGCCTTAAGACAGCAGATAATCCTTACTGTATGATTTGATGTTTCTTCCCTTAGGCACCACGTGAGGTTGTTCTGCCTTTCAAGCTTTCTGATGACAAGTGGACAATGCAGGCAGTCAGCTTGCACTGTCACTGGTCTATGTCACCTTCCTGATACACCTCAACTGTGAACACATTTTCTTAGGCTTTGCTGATTTGCACTTTTTTTCTTAAATGTAACAGTTATAATTACTTAATACTTGTTTCCTGTATGGGAACGAAATTATCTAAAGTGTGAACTTTTTGTTTGTTCTTTTTAATGTACTCAAAGCATTTTAATGAAAGAGCTGATTTTACTGTATAGGCCTCTGAAATGTGAGGTAAAGAGCATGGAAAAGCAAATTGTTGGATACTTTTTCCAGTTAAAATCCTAAAGCACTGCAGTACCTCTCCTGTGAGAAAAGGCACTTCTTAGCCTGGAACAGAGAAAGGCTCAGTGGTGAATCTGATCGATGTACATAAATGCCTGAATGGAGTAAAGCAATGAAGATGGAATCTGTTGGGTTTTTTTCTTCCAACTGTGACTGATTTATTTCATTCTGACATAAAACAAAATTTTGCACAACAGCACGGATCACCTTTTATAAAAGGGAGTGAAATACAGGACATGCAATACAGTACAATAAGGGGAAGAGGTGGAATATTCTTCTCCTTTTAAGAACCCATTTAGAATATGATAAACAAGTGAAATGTGGCACAAACATCAGAGCTTCCAAGCATGCTTTCAAGTATCTTCTGGTAGAGGTGCTTGTACTTTCTGGACTTCAGTGTTGGGGTAAAAGCATACTTTGGAAGAAGTAGAAAGTTCACACTTCTTGAGACTTGAGTATAATGTTAAGGCCAGAACACTGGGTACACTTTACCTTCATCTTCCAGAGCACCATCTGTTGTTTTACTTAAAAATGCATTAAGCTTCCAGCTCAAATCCTAGCCCAACTTTGTGACCTCCAGCACTGAAATTCTTGCCATCAATCAAGCCTGACAGGGTCAGCTTTACACCTACAAAAGCAAGTCATGAGATCCTGATCTTCCCTTACAGCATCCGTCCCTCCGTCCGCCCCCCTTCAGGTACCTGAGGCTCACTGCTGTGTCTCAACTGCTGTAGGAGCTTATGTACATGCACAGCCTTCACTGCTATGGAGCTGTGTAAGACTTCTAGGTAATGTTGTTTGTTTGCTCAGGTGGTTTTTCTTTGGTCATCTATCTTTTCTATTTCAGAGATAACATTAAAATAATGCTACCAGTCGAACTTACGTACCAGGTCGAAGAGCAAGAGTGTAACCAACTCCAATCAGGCTGGCATTATTTACTTTAGCCTGCAGAAAATAAGAGAAATCACACCAATACACAGATATTCAGATCATCATCCTGCTACCCCAGGCAAGTAGCTGACATGGCAGTGGGTCCAGCTACTTGCAGGCTGACCTCTGGCAGTGGCACATTTCAGTCTTCTTTCCAAGTTTCTAGTCTGCTCAATTTCACTACATTCCTTGAGTTCAAACTGTAACAGGCTTGAATGGCTCTGATCTTTAAATTGTGACATGTGTAAAGGTTCTGTATCGAGTGCCAACCTTGTTTTTAACACACAAATGAGTAAGCAACAAATACACGAATATGGAAACTTTTTCTAAACTGACTTTGAGCTGTTCATATGTTTAATTCTAGCCAAATTATCCTGGAATTAATTAACAGAGGGCTCAGTGTTACCATGTATTCAGTTACTTTTATTTGCTGGTGGGCCTGTTTTCTCTCTGACTTCTCTTCCCAGCGCTCAGCTCCCCCTTCTGTTTCTCTCTTTGGGCCCTGCTGTTCCTGCAGAACGTTGCAGGTGTTAATGCCAACACTTGTTAATGCCAACACTCGTGGTCCCAGTTGAGATCTGAACCACAACAGAAGCAACGGTTTGTTATCACAGTAATTTCTCAGGAAGTAGCTGAAGCAAGAATTTCACACCATTAATGATGAGCATTGAAGAGAACCTGGAAATACTTTTTCCCTTATAAAAATCCTTACCACAATGGAGGTCTTCTCATCCAGCTGGTACTTAGCAGCAATTCCGAACCGCGTGTTGTTACTGCCAGCAGTCCATGCAAGATTGACTGATGTCTCAACCTTATTATTAACCTTCTGATAAATAGACCCACCAAACTCTGTGCCATCATTCCTGTTTGTAAGAGATGAAAGCATGTGAAGAGCTGCCTTCCTGAGAAAAAAGGAGCTCTTGAGATTAACCCTTTCTTTCCCAAGACTTGTGATCGTTCTCTCTAAATGAACTGAGCGTTCCAGAGTCATTCTCCTTCCTAGCTGGAGCTGATGTTATTCAAAGCATGAGTACTGAATGTGTACCAGACCAAGATTTCTGACAGTCAAGACACAAGGTTTGAAATTCTGATAAAAATAACCTGGTGTGTCTTAAAAAAAGCCTGTGATGATGCATAAAGGGACAGAGGCAGCTGTGGGAATGAGGAGACCAAAACCAATGCAAAAACAACCACAGCAGTTGTTATCACTGCATTCAAAGGCTCCCAGAGCATGAGTGCCAAGGCCAGAACTACATTAAGATGACTGCTGGAAGCATCAAGCATGATGCAGCAGGCACCTCCTCCTATTTCTGAGACACGAATTTTCTTCCCAGAAGGGGAAAGGCATTCTAGCTTAACTGAAGACTCTTATCGTCAATATAGACATTGCAGTTTACAGATTTCATTCCAAATTAACAGCACAAAGTGCCTTTTTACCACTATCCTGTGTAGACACAAATAAAATTACCCCGAATCACTGTTGCAAAAGACAGTGGAAAGCTGCATCTGCTTTAATTGGGCTGAAAATGGAATCACAGAACGTGAATTACTTTGCAACAAATCAGCATCCTCCCTTATCCTCCCCCCCTTCTTTATTTAAACCTAGCTCGGTTAATTCTTACTACTCATCAGCTTGGTTTCTCCAAGAATGCTTTTCTAAGTGTAGATCAGTACTTACACGTTAGTGTGCAGCTGAAAGTCTCTTGCCTTATATCCCAAGGCAAAGTTGTTTTGTGAAAGCTTAGATTTGGCTGTATCAAAAGCCATCTGATAGCCAGCAAGCCAGCCTTCATAACCCAGCACTGCCCAGCCATAAATGGTTGGTCCAGAGAGATCAATGTCTATATTGCAGCCTAGGTTTACGTATTCTCTTTTGTAGGAAGTCTTCAATTTTCCACTCTTCTTCCTGAAGAGAAACAGGCCATTTTATTCCTGCTGGTGTACCACAGGAGTGTTAGTCCCATATGCACATCCTCAAGGCTAGTTAATTAAACGATGCCTATTCAAACAGGTATCACTGATATGTTTTTTGGTGGTGCTTCTGCCACCATCTCAAAATCCTTGAAATCATCAAGAATTTCACAGGAAATAAATAAGGGAGTTTTTATTTTATTTTATTTTTTTCAGAAACCATCAGTTTTCAGATCTTGTTCTTCACAAACAAGTGCAGTGCAGCACGGTGTCAGCTGTGACATCTCACACTGGCCTTACTGTCTTTTGTTGGCTTTGGCTATTCATATCCCTCCCACGTTCCTTCCTTCACTGGTCAATTCCCTCTTTCACATGCAGTGCCTGCTTTCCTTCCTTCCTCACTGCAGGATCCCACTCTGCTCTACTGAAAACAAGTTGTCCTCATCTTCCATTTGTCAGCCAGCCTTCTGGAGAAGCATTGCTTCCTCTCAGTGTCTTTCTGCTCACTCTGCTATCACTCCATAGTTAACAAAAAATAACCTGTCACCTCCCTCATCCTCACCCCAACCTTGTTTATATTTCTTCCTGAAGGCGCAGCAGGACGCTGTCAAACCTGACCTAGGGGCTCATTCTTAAACTCCTTTTCTATTTCCTTATATTCAATTAATACCTTCAACAACAATTCTTTCGTTATGCTGACTCCAACGACAGACAATAGCAGTAATTATTTATGAAGTCTCAAGCTTCATCTGTAGACATGTGAACCCTGCATGTACTCCTCCCCTCTGCTCTACTGTTAACCAAAAGAAATCAATAATAAGAGAAGACAAAAATATGCTACTGCAGTGCTTATTGTAATCAATATGCCATTCAGTTGTGCACAGCCATAAGCCCACAGGCTTGAGGGAAAAACAGTACTTTGCTCAGTGTTTCCTAAGGCAGCCAGTGGTCAGCAGATGGACCACAAACACCATCACAGTGCATGTGAAACTGCAGAAGAGGACAGAGAAACATCATGTCTACTCCACAGTGAAAATTTCCAGTGGCCAAAAAGCCAAAAAATCCATTTTAGCACATTGTTCAGAGCCCACTGCCTTCCAAATACTCGATAGTGCAGGGCAGGAATTCCCTGTTGCAGTATTTGAATATGGCCATTCAGTGACAGTGCATTTTGAGCATTTACACAGTGAACAGTACAAGGATTTCTAGTCAAAAGGTAAAGACAATTCGAGGGCTTCCCAGGTTAAAGTAACAGAAAATATTTACCCTGTGTTTGGTACAAATGTAGTGTCAAGAGCAACCTTCAATCCTTCAGCCAACTGTTAAGAAAAACAGAGAAGTCTGCTCACAGCTCTGTCAAAATGTGGTTTCCAGTACTATGGCACTACTTCAGGTCTTAGGAGATGACACAACACGAAGGGAAAATCTCTCACACATTTTTACAATGAAATCTGTACATGCTGCATTTTAAGAGCTGCCCTGCCTCATTTTGAGCAGCATTTTCCACGTTAAAGCACTGGTTAAAGTACAGAAGGTGATGCACACACAGCAGAGGGCACCACAAGCTTTCATTACCTCTGGCACTGTTGCCTTCTGCTGTAAAAAGCATAAAGCTACTGACTTTGAAAAGCAGTTAAGAGTGTTATATAGAAACCCTTTGCTTAAGCAAAGCCAGGCTGCAAACACTGATCTTTCTCTTCAACCTCACAAAACACTTCCAGTCTGAAGGCAGACAAACTTCCAGTTTTCTGCATTCAAACATTAAAACGGAGAGACTCCTCTTTGGTTTTCTTTTATGAATGCAGCAGTGACAGCACTACATAGCTGCACCTGATCTTCAAACAAAAGCTGCTTAATTAACAGTGATACTCATCCAACCAGCTGCTGTGGCCAGCCTGCATCAGCAGCCATTCAGTACTTCTGGATCACGGCGCAGCACTTTGCTGTGAGGATGCTCAACCTCCCACCCCTCCAAATTCATGATGCTGCCTCTCAGTCTGGACACTGCAAACACAGCATCACTTTTTTCTTTTTAGTACTTCAGGTAGTTTTGCGTTCCTTCTGTTCAACTCAGTACTTCTGTAATAACAACTGCAGAAACATTTTTAGAGGATTGACTTCTTACCTGATCCTCCACGGAAACTTCTGTTCCCAGTGTGTTGTCTGTGTTCCACTTCTGAATGAATGTAAGTCCATAGTCTTTGATCTTATACTTGGTTTCTAGATTACCCAAAGCCTTGCCTGTGTCTGTATTGGAAGAACCAGTTGCAGTAAATTCCTGCCAAGAGGACAACATGAGTTTCATCCCTCCAGATACTTTCAGTTTATCCACTTGTCAAATGCTTGCACTCAAACACTCGCTTGGCTTCAGACCTTTCAGACCTTCAGACCCTCTCAGTAAAACAATTATTTTTGCATCTCAAAATGCAAAACTCCCTTTAGCACCTCCATTCTGGATATGGCCTTTACTCAGACGTGCTGATGCAGCCCTGGGACTTTCTTAGGCCCTAACACACAAAGGCTTGGCACTTCATTCCCCTGTCCCCCTCCTTGAACCTTTGTTACGTTTTTTCCTAAGTTATTCACCAACATTCCACCTTAGCAGCTGCTATTCCATCATCCTTGGACTTGTTCTGTGCTTCACACAGGTTCTCTGTCCCTCAGCCACATACAAAACATCCATCTGAAACACAAAGCTGCTCGTATCCTATGATTTTTCTTCCTAAAATTCCCCATGCTGTTTTTAAGCACGCTGTCCTTTGCTGTTTGAGCAGCTCCTCACATATCAGAGCTTTCACTAAGGGCCGTGAAACCCCAATAAATACATTAACTTTAAGGTAGCCTGCTCAGTGTTTGATGTACAGGGTATAAAGCAATTTTTGCAGCAAGTCCAAGGGATACCACCTTAACTTAAAAAAGCATCTGAGAACGCAGCTGATTTCTGTTGTCCTCATCTCAAATATTTTCCCTAATCAATCTGCCATTGCACTTCCAAGTCACCTCTGTTTTAAAGTTTAAATATTTAAAGTATCCACCATCAAACACATCTTAGTTTTAGAACCCTGACTTTCTGGCTCATTCCAGGACAGGATTTCTAGGTGCCACCAAATTACTTTCAAAATTTAGCATTTCTCAGGGCGCACTTAAAATCTTCCAATGGTTCTGAATTGCCAGGGCAATGCAGCCAGGTGACATTCCTGGCTCACCATGGAAAAAAGGTGGCATTTACTCAAGTTAACGCACTGCTACAACAGCACAGCAATTTCACTGCCTCTCTGGCTACCTTGTGAAAATACAGAATGTGAGTCAAGGCGCAGACCATCCCTGAAGGTACATCCACTGCAAAGCATTCCAATATCACTTCCACAAACTCAATGTGAAGAATCTGCACCAGACTTCAGAACTGACCTCCTTCTGATC